TAAGTATATCTGTCAAAAATCATATTTATGTGAGATGTGTCAATACTGGTCTTGTGTTATTTGGACTACTTGGAAAGAAGATAAAAAAGATCCTGTTTGGCTCCGGGAAGGAAAAGATAGCCCCTCCTGCACAAGTGGGAACCGCAACCCTTTAGAATTGGTCATCACAAACTCCTCAGACCCAAAATAAAATAAAGGAGAATACGTATCATTAGGCATTGATAGAAAAGGACTAGATCCTAGAGTAGGCATCCTAATAAAAGGAGAGGTTCAAAGACGCTCTCCAGAACCAGAATTTCAGACTTTCTATGATGAACTAAATGTGCCAGTACCTGAGATTCCTGGAAAAACTAGAAATTTGTTTTTGCAATTAGCTGAACATGTAGCCCAGTCTCTAAAAGTCACTTCATGTTATGTTTGTGGAGGAACTGTAACAGGAGATCACTGGCCATGGGAAGCCCGAGAGTTAGTTCCTACAGACCCAGTTTCTGATGAATTCCTGGCCCAAAAGAACTACCCTGACACTTTTTGGGTTCTAAAAGCCTCAATTATTGGACAGTATTGCATAGCTAGAGAAGGAAAGGGATCCACTCATCCTGTAGGGCGGCTTAGTTGTCTTGGGTGTATAATGGTACCGCAAAAACAGTTACATGGTGGAGTTCCAATTACACAGAAAGAAATCCATTCAGTAAATTTCCAAAGTTGCAGACTGTTTGGGCCCACCCAGAATTCCACCGGGACTGGACGGCCCCACCGGGTTATACTGGATATGTGGACATAGAGCCTACGCTAAGCTGCCTGATCAGTGGACAGGTAGCTGTGTAATTGGCACCATTAAGCCATCTTTCTTCTTACTGCACATAAAAACAGGTGAACTTCTGGGCTTCCCTGACTATGCTTCCCGCGAAAAACGAAGCATAGCCATAGGTAATTGGAGAGATAATGAATGGCCACCTGAAAAAATTATACAATACTATGGACCCGCCACTTGGGCAGAAGATGGTTCGTGGGGATATTGGACCCCCATCTACATGCTCAACCGGATCATTAAGCTGTTTTAGAAATTATTACTAATAAAACCGGTCAAGCCTTGACCGTTCTTGCCCGGCAAGAGACTCTGATGAGAAATGCTATCTATCAAAATAGACTAGCTCTTGACTACTTGCTAGCAGCTGAAGGAGGAGTTTGTGGAAAATTCAACCTTACTAACTGTTGTCTACACGTAGATGATCAAGGGTAAGTAGTTGAGGATGTAGTTAAAGATATAACAAAACTGGCACATGTACCCGTGCAAGTGCGGTGCGGATTTAATCCGGGAGCCATGTTTGGAAATTGGTTCCCAGCAATAGGAGGATTTAAAACTCTCATAATAGGAGTAATAATAGTAATGGGAACCTGCTTCCTGCTCCCTTGTTTGCCACCTATACTTTTCCAAATGATAAAAAGCTTCATTGCTACCTTAGTTCACCAGAATGCTTCAGCACAAGCATATTATATGAATCACTATCAGTCTATTGCACAGGAAGATATAAGTAGTGAAAATAAAAGTGAGAACTCCCACTGGTAAAATGAGTGAAAGTCTCAAAGAGGGGAAATGAGGGAAGAGAGAGACCCTGTCATATTGTTTTATATTGTTTTATACTCAGTACCTGTTTTAAGAAGAAACAAGGAAGTGAAACCAAAGGCAGGCAGCCCGGTGCCAGGCACCAAACCCAAAACCAGACCTGAAACCAGGCCTGGGCCTGCCTGGCCTAAATCTAGTAGTTACAAATCAACTCATGACTTAGCAACCAGTGTTATCCATAGATTCCAGACACTGTATGGAAGAACATTGTGAAACTCCCTGCCCTGTTCTGTTTCACTCTGACCACCGGTGCATGAAGCCCCTGTCACGTACCCCCTAGATTGCTCAAACAGTCACAACCCTTTCATGTGAAATCTTTAGTGTTGGGAGCCCTTAAAAGGGACAGAAATTGTGCACTCGGGGAGCTCGGATTTTAAGACGGTAGCTTGCCGACGCTCCCAGCTGAATAAAACCCTTCCTTCTACAACTTGGTGTCTGAGGGGTTTTGTCTGCGGCTCGTCCTGCTACAGTCAAGTCCACTTTGTGGCGTGATGGCCTAACAGAACCCACTGGGGTGGTCAGAGTTCCATCCACAACATTCTGGAATGTGGCCTTGGGAACCAGTCAGCTTCTCCCCCTCCTCACACTCCCTTGGCCTCTGTTGCTCCAGTTCTGGCGTCTCTGAGGGGGACCTGGGAGGACTCTCAGCTTTCAACAGATCAGGCAGGTAACTCACAGAGCTAGGGTTCCAGGTAAATATGATCCCCAGGCCATGCCTAGGCTCTGGTTTCTTAGGCAGGGTGGGAGGAGTAACTTGGCGGTGGCTGAGCCAGCCTGGTGAGTTTGGCTATCACTGATGGACTCTAGGCCAATGGTGGGCCAGAGACTGCCTGGAATTTGCTATCAGATAAGCCCTGAGCCCAGATCACAGGCCTAGGATGACCCAGGACCTGGGGACCTCTTTGTTCTGTCTTCTGGGGCCTGATTTGGGGTTCCTAGGTTTGCCCTGAGGATTTCAGGATACCCCCTAGTTAAGCAAACGTATGAGCCCTGGGGCCTGGGATGGGAAAGGGGAAGTGGTATGGCTCGTAGCCACTCTTGTCCTCTCTGACAACATCAACATCTCCAAGAAGGGCACCCCCAGAAATATTTTTGCTGTTTGCAGGATGGGGGTGAGCGTTTGAGCACGCAGCGTGGTTTCTCTAATTTCTCCCAGCCCACAGAATCAATGAGACATAGCAGGCAAAGCCCAGGCTTTGCAATAAGATGGACTGGGTTTGAATCCTGGCTCTGCCCCTTACCAGCTGTGTGACCTTGTAGCTTGGCAGTGGCTGTTTAACCACATTGAAACTCAAACTATTTAACGTCTCGGAATCTAATCTGTTTCTTCATCTGTAGAGCCAGAGGGTGGTGGGGAATATAGTACCTGCCTGGCAGAGCTGTTGTGAAGAATACATTTGACAACCTGTAGGTGTTCAGTAAATGACAGCTATCATTACCCTGTGGGAGAGAACCAAGAGGAGAGAGGTTAAAGTTGCACAAACTCCTTTCCCCCAACACACACACATACACACACATGCACACACACGGACACATGCACACACCCCTATCCTGCAGCTGCAGCCAAAGGGATCATGTTAAAATGTGTATCCTCTGTGCAAAATTCCCCCATGACCTCTCACCCAGAGTCGAAGCCAAAGTCCTTGTGAACGACAAGGGCCCTCCTCGGCCTGCCCCGTTCTTACTTTCTCTCTCTGATCTCCTCGACCACCATGCTTCCCCTTGCTTCCTGGGCTGGGCCCCTTGCTGCTCCCAAAGGCCCAGGCATATTCTTGCCCCAAGGGCTTGGCACTGCCATCTCCACTGCCAGGAGTGTACCCTGCCATCTTTGCTCAATGCCATGATCTCAATGAGGCCTCCTCTGGCCACTCAGGTGTTTTGTTTTTTTTTCTCTGTTGGAGTGCAGTGGTGCAATCTCAGCTCACTGCAACCTCCACCTCCCGGGTTCAAGCAATTCTCCTGCCTCAGTCTCCTAAGCTGGGATGACAGGCATCCACCACCACCCTGGCTAATTTTTGTATTTTTAGTAGAGACAGGGTTTCGCCATGTTGGTCAGGATGGCCTCAAACTCCTGACCTCAGGTGATCTGCCCACCTTGGCCTCCCAAAGTGCTAGGATTACAGGCGTGAGCCATCGCACCTGACCTTAGCCACTCAGTTTTAAATGATAGCCCCTCCCCACCCCCCACACATTTCTTAGTCCTCCTCTCTCTTTTTTTAAAATTTAAAGTTTAATTTAAATTTTTTATTAATAGAGATGGACTTTCACCATGTTGGCCAGGTTAGTCTTGAACTCCTTGCTTCAAGTGATCTGCCTACCTTGGCCTCCCAAAGTACTGAAATTACAGTCATGAGCCACTGCACCCAGCCAGTCCTCCTCCTTTCTTATCCCTGCTTTATTTCTTCCATAGCCTGATCATGACCTGACACGTGTTTTGTTGATGATTTCCACTTGCATGAATATAAATTCCACAAAGGCAGGGGGTTTGTCTATTATTTTCACATTCATAGTAATTCCCCCTGCCTAGGCATAGAGGTAGGTGCTTAAGGTTTGTTGAATGAATACCTGAAAGACGGCAGGAACTGAAGTTCTGGCTGGTGCAGGTAAGGGGAGTGGGCCATGAGGTGAGCACATCATCGCTTTCCTTTTTTGCCAAATGAAGGGGTTGGCCTAGACACCCAAGAGACCGTGAACCCCTGGGAATGGCACACATCACTGGGTGAGTCTCTGCCTCCATGCATTTTTCTGGAACAAGGGGCCCTACCTTCTTGCAGACATTGAACAGAGCCTGTGACCTCCCAGAGGAGCTAAGCACCCTCCCAGCTCTGACATCTCGTAGTTGGCTCTAATAGATTTGAATCCTTGTTTTTTAAGAACCTAGGATGCTAAGATCCCATCATGTTATTCAGCAGCCAGGGACGTCCTGGCCCCAAGGCAGGGAGGGGAATCCAGAGGAGACTGTGGCAGGGTCAGTGTGGAGGGGGCGGTAGTGCCTATGGGGACATTGGAGGGGAGACAAAGGAGACTTGTATATTACATGTGCTGTTTTCTTCCTTTTGTTCAAAAGAAAATAGGTTTAAAGCAAGTTTGACGAAATGTGAACAATTGTCAATGCTGGGTACTGGGCACGGGGGTGTTTCTCACAGCACCACACTTTTCCTGTATTTTAAGAAATTCTTTAAAAATACAGAGTTGGGGGTGGGCACTAATAGTTATAGCTCATGATTAGTAACAGAGAGGCAGTTTCTGGAGGCCTGGGGGACCTGCACTTTGGGTGTTTTTGCAGCGTGCGTGTGGGCAGAGGGGCTGGCCAGGGTTCGGGACCCATGCCTGGAGCTGACAGAGCCCTCTCTCCTCCCCTGCTTCCCACTCCCAGGTCTCAGTTTCCTGCCTTCCTGGAAAGTGGGGAAAGGCTGAGAGGCCCCATGCTGGGGGCGAAGCTAATTCATTAGTTACGCCTCAACAAGGACCAGGTGCCTGCAGTGCCAGCGTGATTCATCATGATGATTGCCCCACTGCCAGCCTGCGTGGGCCTGGAACGCCAGCACATTTTACCTTTACCCACTGAGAAGGGCCTGGTGGGAGGTGAAGGTACAGGATCTGCCGAGAGCAAGAAAAAGACTCTGAGAAAGAAGACGGCTGGTCCTCCCTGCTCTCAGCCCCAGGAAGCTCTGCCAAGCTGGTGCCGGGGTGGAGAGGCTCATGTGGGCTCATGTGGTGCTGCTCGTGCGGATGGAGCCCAAGAGGGCAGCCTGGCGCTGGGTGCCAGCCTGAGCATGTGGCGAGGCTGGGCTGCTGAGCCTCCTCCTCCACAGCCAATGTTCCCTCAGTGAAACTGCTTGGGGGCGGGGTGGGGGGGTAGGGACTCATCCTCATCCCATTAGCCTCATTGGGTATTACCTACCTTTCTGGTCTCTGAGAGCCTTACCTCTTCCAAGAAGTCCTCCCGAATGAGTAGAAGGGAGAGAGCTGGATTGGAACTTCAGTGACATCTGGGAGGAGCCTGAAGCCCCTCCGGTTGGGGCTGAGACTTCTATACCCCAAGTCTTGTGTCTGGGTTCCACCTGGGTCCTCTACCTTGGCCTGGATCCCTGCTTTCCTGTTGCCACTCTCCCAGGATGGGGGTGCATGGCTGGTTCCTGGTTCAGAGCAACATCTGCCTCTGTGTCCCCCAACACCTGTCCGCCCCTGACACCTCTTGCCATATTAGAATTGCTATTGCTCTGCCCTTTCATTCATTTATCCAACAAATACATATTATCTGAAAAAAAGTATGTGCTGAATAATTTCATTTGTGTGAAATTCAAGAACAGGGAAAACTGATCCATGAGGATAGAGGTCAGGATTGTAGTTGCCTCTGCGAGGTGGGGATTGACTGCAAGAGGCTTGAGAGAACTCTTGAGGTGATGGAAATGGGACAGGAGTGTGTATGTTTGTCAAAATGCATCCAAGAGTACACTTATGACTATGCATTTCACTGTATGCAATGTTTGCCTCCACTTTTTTTAACATTAAAATTTTTTCAGCCAGGTGCAGTGGCTCATGCCTGTAATATCAGCACTTTGGGAGGCCGAGGCAGGTGAATCACCTGAGATCAGGAGTTCCAGACCAGCCTGACCAACATGATGAAACCCTGTCTCTGCTAAAATACAAAAATTAGCCAGGCATGGTGGTGGGCACCTGTAATCTCAGCTACTTGGGAGGCTGAGGCAAGAGAATCGCTTGAACCCAGGAGGTGAGGCGGAGGCTGCAGTGAACCGAGATCGCGCCATTGCACTCCAACCGAGGCAACAAGAGCAAAACTCCGTCTCAAAATTAAATAAATAAATAAATAAATAAATAAAAATTTGCATTGAATGTCTACTGTATGCTCTAGAGCCTGTGCCAGTAGGGAAGGAGATTTCCAAACCTCCCTGGCTGGGCAGTTTACATTCCAGTGGGGATGGTTCCCATCCTCACGTTGCATTGGCAACTGCTCTCTGCCCTTGGGCTGTCTTCCATTCCCCTTCCCCTGCAGTGGGGATGGCAATGGGGGTGGGCCAAAGGGCAGCGTGCTGTCCTGAGGTCAGTCCATTCAGCCAGTTACATGGGTCACACCAGCCGGGTTCAAGAGAAGGCAGGAGGCAGGAGGCTTGGAGCCCGAAAATTCGGCTCCCGGGCTGCAATCTCTATGCATTGTGTGACTGTAAGCAGGGTGCCTAATCGCCGTGAGGCCACTTCTCTCATCTTTCATATAGGATTATAATGCTCTCTTTGTAGCTTTGCCCGGAGAATCAGAGGCTCTGTTGTGAGAAAACTCATTGCTGCAGGTGGAGTGACCCTCGTTTCCATCTGTCGGTATGGTTTATGGTTAGGAACACAGGCTCTCGAGTCATACTACCTGGCTTCGAATCCAGCTGCTTATCAACTGGGTGACCTTGGGCACTTCACCCAGGTCAGACTGACCCAGCTCAAGTCATGTCTCTTTGATGCTCAGTTTATCCATCTTTTAAATCGAGGTGATGAAGGTGTCTACCTCAGACTGTGTCAAGGACCCAAAGCAACGCTTTCAGCATAGTGCTAGGCACACGTGTGCTCGAAGCCAGTGGCAGCCAGTGCTTTTCTGCCAGGAGCTCCGGCAGGTGGGCTCCGGATGGGAGGTAGGGGGAGAAGGCAGTGGGGAACGGCTGCTGGTGGTAGCAGGCAAAGGAAGAGTCATGGAATGCGAGTGGCCATGATTGGTGGCTCAAAGGCGTTCACACGTCCCAGTCCTCTGTCCATTGCAGCCACACACAGACTTTGAGCGTCGGTGGAGGGATCCTGGCAGGAGAGAGGGGTGTGAGTTTAGCAATGAGGAAGCTGTAGGGCAATTAGGCAGGGCGGAGCCAAGCCCTGGATCCCGGTAAAGCCAGCAGATGTGAAAAGGGCCAGACAGTAACACAGTTTCGAGTTACTACACTGAAGTGATCACAGCAGGTAGGCCGGCCGCACGCCGCTGGACGTGAATGACCGGCAGTGACCGCGCCCCTCAGCCCCTCCCTGTGAGCCTCTAGTACGGCGTCTTTGATCCACCGCCGGCGTTTCCTTGGCCTTCCTCTTGGACCCACGGCTCTGGGGCGCACACAATCGCACACCAAACGGCGTCGGGCGTCGGGTCTCAGTGCCAGGCTTGGCCGGAGGGGAATCTCTCGGCTTGCGCTTGCTCTGCGGTGGGCTGGATGGGCAGGTAGGGGGCGGGCTCCGGCGCTGGGACCCCGCTCGGGTGGCGCCTTGGCCCCGCCCCGCCCCGCCCTCCCTCCGCCTCATTGGCAGCCGCACGAGCGTCGGGGTTGCCAGGGAGACGGGTCGCTAAGCTGCGAGTCAGTGCGAACCCTAGCCAGTCGGCCTCCGGCGGAGGCAACGGGGGAGGCCAGAGGGCGGGCGGTGGAGCGCAGCGCGCGGCGGCGGTGCCCCAAGTGGGTGCCTCCTCCCGGCCCTGCACGGCCCCCCTCCCGGCGCGGGGGCAGGCCGGGGCGGGGGGCCCGGAGGCCGGCGAGGCTCCGACACCGTCGGGGCGGCCGGGGGGCAGCCGGGGCGGGGCGATGCCGGGCGGTGGCGGTGGTGGCGGCCCCGGCCGGGGCCCGTGACCATGGGCATCGCCGAGTCCACGCCGGATGAGCTGCCGTCGGACGCGGAGGAGCAGCTGCGCAGCGGCGAGCAGCAGCTGGAGCTGAGCGGGCGGCGGTTGCGGCGGCTGCCCAGCGCCGTGTGCGCGCTGAGCCGCCTGCAGAAGCTGTATGTGAGCGGCACGGGGCTGCGCGAGCTGCCCGAGGAGATCGAGGAGCTGCGCGAGCTGCGCATCCTGGCGCTGGACTTCAACAAGCTCGAGCGCCTGCCTGACGGCCTCTGCCGCCTGCCGCGCCTCACGCGCCTCTACTTGGGCGGCAACCGGCTGCTGGCGCTGCCCGCCGACTTCGCGCAGTTGCAGAGCCTGCGCTGCCTCTGGATCGAGGGCAACTTCTTGCGGCGCTTCCCGCGGCCGCTGCTGCGCCTGGTGGCGCTGCAGTCGCTCCAGATGGGCGACAACCGACTGCGCGCGCTGCCGGCGGAGCTGCCGCGCATGACGGGCTTGCGCGGCCTCTGGCTCTACGGCAACCGCTTCGAGGAGTTCCCGCCCGCGCTGCTGCGCATGGGCCGCCTGCACATCCTCGACCTCGACCGCAACCGCCTGGGCGGCTTCCCCGACCTGCACCCGCTGCGCGCGCTGCGCGTCTTCTCCTACGACCACAACCCCGTCACCGGGCCTCCGCGCGTCGCGGACACCGTGTTCCTCGTGGGCGAAGGCGCCGTCGAGCGCATGGCGGAGCGCGACGAGCCCACGCACCGGCCTCCGCCCCGGCGCCCAGCGCGGGCCTTTGAGGATGAGGAGGAGGAAGACCTGCTCATAGGCGGCGCTGGTTCCCGGGCTCTGGGAGCCCCCAGGGGCAGCCTCCGCGCCCTGGAAGCCGCTCCAGGACTGGGCACCTGAGCCTATGTTCTGGCTGACGGGCTTCAGCCCCTCTGAGAGGAGGGGCTCTGGGAAGCTTTGGCTGCTTAGGCCTGCGGGACCGGCGGGCCCCTACTTGGGGCAATGGAGCGGCCACTTTTGGCGAGTTGCCGAGCATAGGCAGGGCAGGGGCGCATCTTCAGACACTCCTTGGTAGTGAGAGGACTGACTATCCCCTGGCTGATCTGTGGGCAATTGTCAGACCAAGAAGTCTGGGCTGGGTCCAGTCCCCGATGGAGCCACTGATAACAGAGGCGCCAGCTTCCACCTGGAACCAGGGTCACTGAGGGTTACAGAATCTTCACGTCTCGCTGAGTCTGGATGCAGGGCGCCCACCACCCTCCCTCCTTCTGGGGTTTGGGTCTCCTAGGCCCACCCTTTCTAGGGCAGGAACCGCTACCTCTGGGGTGGACTGCGTGCCTGTGTGGGATCGGACTGCCCTTGGGAGGAGGGCCTGGCCCAGGAGCAGGGGCTTGGAGTGGGGCTGGTGCCCGGGATAGAAGTGGGAAAGAGATGGGGGCCCCAGCACCGAAGCTGCCCTCACCCCTCCACCAGAGCTGAGTACATACCTCCCTCCCCGGCCCCCTGAGATTCGTATGGGGCACAGAAGGCAGGGGGTCACCCCCACCCTATTCTGTTCTCTTCTCCCAGCCTCCCAGCGTGTGCCTGGAATCTTGCTGGGAAGAGGGAGCTCCCCCTCCACTCCCCACCCCATAGCCTGAGCCTTCCAACTGTCAAGTTTGAAAAGAAGCCACCGTGCCTCCAGGGCCTCCTGCACCGCAGAGAGGGGCTCTCTGCTCTGGGAGGCTGCTCAGCGCCTCTCCCACAGCCTGCACTCTCCTTTCCCTTAAATGGGCACAGCCAGGGTGGCTGGCACGGGACTGGCACTCTGTACCTCCACTCCGTCACCAGGGACAGCCCCGAGGGGGTGAGGAAAGGGGCCTTGCTCTGCAATTCCCAGAGCCAGATCTTCCTCATCCAAGCAATAACGGAACGAGGGAGCCAGGGCCAAGGACACTCAGGGACACTGTTGGGGCCGGAGCCCCACATGGTAATGTTTTCTTTAGGGAGAAGAAAAAACAACTGGCTGTAAACATAAATTATATTTCTTGGAGAAAGAATGTGCATTTCCCATGTGCCTGTTTATTTATAATCCCTGGGAGCACCGGAACCCACTGCTGTGGGGACCCTGGACTCCCTCTGGCACTGCCCCCACCCCACGTACCTCCCGTTCCATGTCAGACTGACCCTGCCAGCTGTTGTGTGCTGTCTGGGGAACAAGTACTGTCGTCAGCAGTGGCGTTTGCCCCTCGAGGCTGCTGTCCTGTCTTGCAGAATCTCACTGCTTAATTCTGCAGAAGATTTTGTATGTTTTTGAATCACCCTCAAGCTGGGCCGATCGCTCTCTATTCTTTCACTGGCGCTGCCCCTCCACCCCCTCCATGACTCCATCTCTCTCGCTCTGTTTTCCTCTTTCTGTCTCTCTCCTTCTTAGTCTCTTTTTGCTCTGTTGTGGCATTTCTTTCTCCCCTTGTTGTTCAGGAAAAGAATAACGATTTAAAGAAAGGAAGAAAGTTGTAAAACCCCAAGCCTGGAGGCCCATCTCATGGGAGAAGATCCTGCCAGGCCTTCATCACCATGGCAACAGGGGCATACCAGGCCAAAAGGTCAGGCCCTGCCCAGAAGCTCTGTGGGCACATGGGGCTGGGCCCTGGCTAAGGGGGAGGCTGGGCATGGATCTGGGGCAGTCAGCTTGCAAATGAGAGTGAAGGCCTTGAATGGACAGAAAGAGGAAGTGGGTGGGGAAGATCGGAGGCTGCCTCCTTCCCGAGGAGGAAGCGGGTCTGGGGCCTGGCTACTGCAGACCTTGTCCCTCCCATAGCTCCCCCTGTTGGGGTTCCGTCAGGGCCAGTGGGCCTTCCAGGGTCTGGAAACTTGGAGAAAGTAATTTGATGATCACTCAGGTAGGGTGGGAGCTGCAGCTGACTGGGGACTGTCCTCCTGACCTGCCACTTGTATCGCAGCATAGGGAAAATACCCCTGGGCCTGGAATCAGAAGAAGGGTTCCAGGCCTAGTTCTGCTGTTGACCAAGTGATCTTGAGCAAGTCACGACCCCCCTGGGCCTTAGCTTCTTCATCTGTACATGAGGAGTTGGGCTTATTTACTTTTATTTTATTTTTTTCCAAGATGGAGTGTCTCTCTGTTGCCCAGGCTGGAGTGCAGCAGCACGATCTTGGCTCACTGCAACCTCTGTCTCCCACGTTCAAGCGGTTCTCCTGCCTCAGTCTCCTGAGTAGCTGGGATTACAGGTGCACACCACCACGCCCGGCTGATTTTTGTATTTTTAATAGAGACGGGGTTTCACCTTGTTGGCCAGGCTAGTCTCGAACTCCTGACCTCAGGTGATCTGCCTGCCTCGGCCTCCCAAAGTGCTGGAATTACAGGCGTGAACCACTGCACCTGGCCCAAGGAATTGGGTTTATTTACATCTGATGCTGCAGCTCAATACTTGATGCAAGGGGTTTGTCTACCTTCCTTTATGCAAACCTTAGACACAGGAACAGGAGGGTGCAGAGGCAGCCATGGTCACTTGCAGTAACTGCTGTCATTAGTGAGCTCAGGTCTCCTCCCTCTGTCTGGTCTGTTTCCCTGTACTTCATCCCCTGCTGCTCTCACCTGAGGACTCTAGGTTGGGGCAAAGTCCTGGCAACGAGTCCCCCGGGACATCCTGAGGCACTCAGGGCCCTACCCTTTTGCTTTGTCAAACGTGGCACCCGCGGCCATGACTACTCGCCAGCTGAGCAGGAGCTCCCCCGAGGAATGGGAATGGGCTCAGTCCCGGGCTCTGCTACTCACTTGCTCTACACCCTCAGAAGCCAGTCCCTTCTGGAAAGTTTGAATGTGGTTAAATTGGGTACTGATGCCATAGAGCATGACTGAGGGTTTCTGTCTCCATGTGAGTAGGGAGGGAGCTACTGCCAGGGACAGCTGGGTGTCACAGCTCCCCTTGGTGACAGAGAGAGCACTGTATTAGGAGTCCTAGCATTCCCCCACCCACAACTTCCTGTGATTCCCACTTGGCCTCCGGGGAGCAGGGGGCAGGGGAGACTGGAAGGGACGCTTTAACAATGGGATGGGATGGATGGGCTGCCTCTGCGGTTCCCCACATCATTCCGGGGCAGTCAGAAGTGGGCAGGCCATGGGGGAATAGGGTAGGGAAATTCCGCAAGAGTCATGTTTGTACCAGGGATTCAGGGGCAGAGGCCAAGGGAGCTGGCGGTCAGAGCAAGAAGCTTCCTTCCTGCTGTGGGAACCAAGTGGAGGGAAAGGCAGAGGAGGCGGCAGGGCAAGAAACAGGGTGGGGAGGGCGAGTGACTCACCCATAAGCCGTGTGAGGACTCCCAACCCAGTGCTCACAGAAGAGCTGCGTAGTCCCTGGCTGGCAGTCAGGTCTGTGAGTGGAATGGCTGAGAACTGCACCTGTTCTTGAGGCCCCCGCCCCCACCAGCCTCCAGGCAAGCACCCCTGCTGGCCGGTGTGGCAGCGGAGACCCAGGGCTGAGCTTTTTCCAGCCTCGTGAATGCCATTCCTCACCCCCTTCCCACCCACCCTCATGGGACTCAGGAAAGGGGGAGAACAGGTTCTTGGAACTGGGGGCCCTACCCAGAAGTCCCTCCCTGCCTCCAGTGCCACCACACAGGCTTACTCAGCCATCTGTCCCAAAGCTTCCTCAAGACACCTGGCGCTCTTGTTCTGAAGATGAACATTTATTAGCACACCTGGGCGTGCCACAGGGAACACGTATGCAGACAGGGATCCCTGCCCAGGGGGCTCACAATCTAAACAAGACACGACACACACACACAGGACACAGACACGGGGAGCGGGGCGTCTTCACGGGAAACAGATGGTCAGGGAAGCCACGAGCGGGGGCATCGGCGTGCTCAAGCCTTGTCTTTCTGGTTGTCTTTGCGGGGGAGGGAGAGGAGCGCAGAACGTAACCCAGGATGGCCTTCCAGAAAGTAGCAGTATCTGGGGGGGACTCACAGGAGAAAGAAAACACCAGAGGGCGGTGGTCCCAGGTACAGGGAGAGGTGGGGGAGCATCTCAGATCAGGCGTGGATGAAGACAGACCCAGAGAAGTAAAAACAGAGGAAGGCAAAAAGTCCAGGGAAGGGCCCGAGCCAGCAGCAAGAGACTGCCACCTGTGCTGGGCCTGGGCTGTCTCTGACTTCAGGCTCCGTTTTCCGGGGCTGCTCTCACAGAGAAAGCCTGAACAGAAGCTCTGGCCAAGGGCGCCCCTGAGGCTACTTACCTGACCCCAGGGCTTCCTCCAATCTCTGGAACAGAGATCAGAAGGGATATCTAAACCAGGTTGCGGGAAACGAGAGACAGACAGCTTTGGGTGGGGTACTTAGTGCAGTTCCAGGAGGCAGCTGCTGGCCCCAGGTGCTGGGAGCAGGGGGCGGATGGGATGGCCCGCTTCACTCCTGGCAGGGCCAGGGGCCAGCAGGTGGACACATGACAACAGGGATGTGCTCGTTCCTTTTGTGCCTGTGTCTGAAACAGATGTAGCACCTTCCTTCTGAAGAACCCTGAGAGCTGCGGGGGCTCAGCTTCCCCTGGGCTGGGTGGGGAAGAAAGGGCAGGGGATGGGGATGGTTATTGCTTTGTCGTGGTCAGAAGAAACAGGTGGAAGGAATAAAAGAGCTTGCCCAGGGCCACAGAGGCTGGAGAAGGGATTACAACCCAGCTTCCCACACCTCAGGCTGGAACCTGTTCTATTGAGTAGAAAAGACTTTTCTAATCCTAAAGAACTGAGAGAAGCCACAGTTCCAGCCAACAGACACAGAGCTCCTTATCTTTCCCTTTCCCACCTCAGGGACCAGGAAGGAGGCGCTGGCCTGAAACTACAGTGGCCCCGTGGGTGGTGGTGGGAAAACTGGAGCGTCCCCCTTTGGTTTGTCTGAGCTGCCTTGAAGGGTGGTGAGGGTCCTCTGGGAACTGAGGGAGGGGACGTCAGGCTGGGTGACCCTGGAGGGCACCTCTGAGGCCTAGAGGACTCTACTCCCAAAAAGCTTTGCGTCAGGCCTGATCTGGGAGATGTAGCTGCCTCTCTGCTTTCTGGGAAGCCGGTGGGATCATATTCTATAGAGATCTGAGGATGGGCTGGACGCTCAGGAAGGGCCTGGTCACCAGTGAAGTCAAATCCCAAAGGTGACACACTGAGGGGGAGGCTCAGCCCCGGGGCCCCCATCCCCTTCACCCCACTGCCTCTGCCCCTGGGAAGGTGAGGGAGGGCTGGGACCCAAGGAGGAAACAGCCAAGGCCCTACTTTTTCACGATCCTTTATTAATCAGAACAGGCCTTGCCACAAAAAGCAGGACCCATTCCCACAAAAATATGATTTTGCAAAGAGGAAATCTTGCTGGCTTAGAGGGTGTGTGTGGTGGAAAAATTTTGTATGGTTCTTTTTTCCTGTTTTTTTTTTTTTTTTTCCTTCAGTTTTTCTTCATTTCTCTTCGCTGCAAAATTTTTTTTTTTTTTTGGTGATGGTGGGTTTTTGTTTTATTTTTTATAAAACATTTGCGCTCAAGGACATACAAACAGTGGCCACCGATCCCCACCCCTGGGGGACTCAGGGGAGGCCCCTGGCTTGTTTGTGGCTGTTTTCCTCTGTCCCTTCCCTGGCATCTGGTGCCGGAGGGCAGGTGTGGGGGTCCTGGGGCAGGTGGAATTTATACAGCAGTTTCGTGGGGAGATGGCCACAAGAAAGGAAACCAGGACAAGATAAGGACTAAGTCTAGGGCACCCACAAAGATGGCAGATGAGGCCCATGAAGGGGCCTGCGACACAGTGAAGAGACAGATGGGCCTGGGTTGGCCTCGGCTAGCTCTGGAGGCTCTGTGGGGGAGGGGCAGGTGGGCCTTGCTGTCAGGATTCGCTAATTACACTTTGCTCACGGGTAGCACCTTCTCTCTTGAGTCCTCCTGCCTTGACCCTCAGGTCAGGTGATGGTGGCCTCACAACCTCCCCTGTGAGGTAGGTGAAGTATTATTACCATCATATTACAGATGGGGAAACTGAGGCCCAGGGAGTGCGGGTGACTTGCCCAAAGTCCTGGGATGGTGACAGGGCTCCAAGTGCCCTCCCCCCACCCTCAAGTTCCCCCATTCCCTGCTCTCCTATCACCCTAGACCACCCCTGCCCCATCCCATACCACCCTTGCCTCCCGTGCTAGCCTACTCAGCCCTTGGCCCACCGCTTGCCGCCCCGACATAGCATCCCAGAGCTCCACCTGCACGTGGGGGGGCTGGGGAAGCCCAAGCCTGGTAGCCAGTGTGCCTGGATGGGGTCTGGTTGGGAAAAGATCCCTGCCAGGAGATGCTCTCTGCATAGGATTGGCTAAGAGCTCCATGGGCGGGGCTCGGGAAAAGGTGGAGCCATTGCCCCGCCCACTCGATACAAGTTGGTTGGATTCCCAGGGGGCTCCCTAGCAGGCGAAGGGGCCTGGGAGGCGGGGGCTCGCTCACTGGGCAGTCTTCCGCGGGGCAGGCGGGTGGTGGTGGGGGGACAGGAAACCGAGGCGGATCCAAGGGAGGGGTAGAGAAGGGCAGATCCCCTCCTCCACTCAAAACTTCCCACCACGCCCTCTCCCACATCCACGTGGCTTCGGGGTCGCTGCCCTCCCGTCCCTGCTGGGGGCCGCTCCCCAGCCCGCCAAAGAGGAGGGTGCAGTTGGGGCCGACCCCATTTTAAGCAAAGCTACAATATAGAAACATTTGGATTTACAAGGAACGTGGGTGACTATTTGCTTTACATTAGCATTCTTCACTCTACAAAACGATTCACCTACTATGTATGATGTTCTTCCAGATCCCAGGGAGAGGAAATGGTGGGGGTGTGAGATTCAATTTAAGAAAATTTCGCTATGGGCAAAAGGCGACCCGTCTACTGCAGCAAGCAGAATGCTCAGGTCAAGGGGAAGCCGACCGAAGGAAAATGGTTCCCAAATGCCTATGCTCTCCCCACGCCCTGGATGTGGGGACCCTATCCAGAGTCCCCTTCTTGTCTTTGGGGTGTCACAGGCCCATCCAGGGTGGAACTGTGGGCTGACCAAGCCACAGACTGTGGAGGCTTGGCGCCACCTGGCGGTGGTTCTTGGAATGTCAGGCCCAGGCCTATGGACCCCCAGGTTTGGAGGCTTTGTCACCAGCTGGGTCTTTTATCTATACCAGGACCAGCGTGGGGATGAGAGGGCTTAAGCAGGGATCAGCCTGAAATCTGCCATCTCCAGGGGGAAGCCAGTTCTAGTCTCATCAGTGGCTGAGGCAGAGAAACCATGGCTTCTTTGTGTGTGGCAACCTCAGAACTCTCAGAACCTTCGTCTTCTCCCTGCCTCCTTTCCCTGCACTGTGAGTGAGCCAGGCAGAAGGAGCTGCTCCCGGGGACCAGGGAGTGGGGAGGGTGGGAAGACAGTCCTGGAGAAGATCAGGTGATGGAAGATCAGAGACCACGCACGATGACAGGGAATGAATGGAAGGCCTACAAGCATCAGGGGATGGAGGGGTGAGGAAAGAAGGGTGGGGGTCTGCACAGGCAGGGAGAGACGAGGAAGGGCAGGGAAGCTGGAAAGCATGAAGAATAGGGCAGATGTGGCTGCGTATGAGGTGTGGGAAGCTGGCGGGGGGTCTTTTGATGAAGGAGTTAGGGCAAAGCTAGTCAGGGCTCAGGACCCCTTGAGAAGGAAGGGAGATGAGTCCTGGTGGAATGCTATGCACACAGTAGGTGCCTAAAAGGCGTGAGTCAGTGTTCAAGAGATGAAATTGCTGAAAAAGGAGCTATTTCAGATTCTGAGCAGAAGGGGGCACCAAGGGGAGAAGGGGAGGAGGGCAGGAGGCAGCCCGGCTCTCAGCCCAGCTCCAGCATCTGCCGCTCTTCTGTTCCTGACTGCTGCCTCACCCTACCCCACTCAGCCCTACAGGCCTCTCCTCTCACACTCCTGGCCTCCAACCCTGCCTGGCCTTCACGAAACCTGCCTTCTCCGCATAGTCCTCCGCACTTCCAGGCCTCTGTCCCCACGCACACACACAATGGACACAACACAAGTACAAAGGGCCGCGGCTCCAGGACCCAGGAGCGGGCTAGATACTGTCTTCGGCATTCAGGGCCCAGCCGGCACCTGAAACTGCCCTGGGGACGGGCCTCTCCTAACCAGACTGGGGCCAAACGCCTCAGCCTCCCCTCCCCTGGGTCCACCTCGGGGGCTGGACAGGGAGTGGCCTCTCTCCACTCCAGGTGCTGCCTTAAAGAAAACGGGGGACCATGCCCACCTGGCGGGCCTCTGGAGGGGTCTGCCTGTCTGGCCGTCTGGCTCTTGAGGTCCCCCAACTTCTTTAGTATTAGTAAGTCAGGAAGAAAAGGGGCAAAGCAGGAAAATGCCTCCCAGAGCCCCTTCCCCGAAGCTGGACCGTGGGGGACGGGGCTGGTACTTCCTAGACACGGGGCCCAGTTGAGTCCTGGGACCCCTCCCTGGCTGAGCCCTCAGGGTCCTCCCCTCCCTATGGCAGGGGGCTCAGGCCGGGCGTTGTGCATAAAGTGGTGAGGGCATGATGGGGACCTGGGCCCTCGGCCCCCTGGGCCTCCCTTGGCCCCACTCAGGCCTTCAGCTGGTGCCACTGGGCCACGGGCTGCCGGGGACGGGCAATCATGTCCTTCCAGTGCTTCACCTCCCCTGGCCCGCTTTTCCAGGACAGGTAGATCTGGGGAGAAAGGGGAGAGGATGGCATTGGCACAGGCTCCAGGGCACTGGCCCTTTCCCCCACAGGGGTGACACCCCAACTCCACCATGATACCCTAGCCTGTGGCCCCCCAACCTCCACATGCTGTGACAACCTACTCCACAGAGGCGCCCTCCTCCTTCCCCAGCCAGCCTGATCTATTTTCCTGGTTGTCTACCCCCACACCTCCAAGTCTGGGCACACCTGGCCTCTTGGAATTAGACTGCCAACCTACTTTGCAGTGGGGTCTGGAAGGTGGGGGTGGAGGCAGATCGTCTCCACGGCCTTCCCTGCCCTATCTGTTGGGTGCTGTCCAGCCCCCGTTAATTATAATTGTTCCCAGCTCCTGGGCACTCGCTGCATGTGAGTACTGAGCTAGGGACTTATACACACAGATAATCCAATCCTACAACTGCGAGGTAGGGTTATACGATCATCTCCATTTTTCAGATGGGGAAACTAAGGTACAAAGAGGTAAGAGACTTACCCACAGTCACAGTGTTTATAAGTGGTGCAGAGGGACTGAAATCCAGGTCTTTGGAGCTCTACGCTACCGGCCTAATCCTGCTTCACAGCCTCACGGGGCTGCATGCATGAATCCCCCCGGAACCCCCAGGATGGGCCCCGCTGACCTCAGCTTTGGGACTTGGGGGCGATTAAGAGTATGAGCATTGCCCCCATTGCAACCTCAGCCCAGCATGATACCTACAGCCTTGGATGATGCCAGGCAGACAAGGGGCAGACTCTTGGCTTCCAGGGGCTGAGCAGGAGCCGGGAGTCAGAAGGATTCAGAGATCCTTGGGCTCCATAAGTTACCCAGGCCAAAGTGAGAACAAATCCACGTTTGCTTTGGTTCAGCCAACAGAAGGTAGGACTGTTTCAAAAGGAGCCCTAATCGGTATCTAAGGGACACCCAACTCCAAAAGGCTAAGCTTCAAAAGAACATCAAAGTAGATATGGTCACTTGGCCTTTGGGCTGAGCTGGTCAAAGGGGCATCGGCGGGACCTGAACCCTGGCCAGGCAGGGGCGCATACTCTCTCTGGAGTATGAGTGGCAATGTCCTGGGGAGTTGTCCCACCTGTGACCACAGATTGGCCAGTCATACTCCCCGTGCCATACCCGATGGCAGGCAGGGCTAGCTCTCCTCTTTCAGGCCAGACTGCCTCCTTTACCCCAGCAGGTGAGTTCTCCATTCCCATCTGTCTGAGGGTTGCCTCCAACTCAGCTCCCTTCCCTGTGGGTATCCAGTCCCCCTTTCCCTTTCCCCTACCCAGGGTAATGCCCAGGTGTGTGCCCCTCACTCACTCCTGGCATCTCCCCTTCTCCCATGACTGCCCTGAGCACTGGTTCCTCACATGGTCCTGGTCAAACCGCCCTGCCTGAATGGATATACATGCCCCTTTATTATCATACTAGCTAACATGCGTTCCAAGTCCTATGCTGTTTAGTGAGCTGTTTAGCTCACCTGTGCGATCTTACTTAATCCTCCCAGCGCATTGTGAGGGTAGGACCGTCCTACTCTCGTTTTGAGAGGAGAAAATGAGGCTCAGAGAGGTTACAGCCTTAAAAAGTAAGGCTAGGATTTGGACCAAGGCTATGTGACTCTCAAGCCCATTCTCTCAACACTAAACCATAAATAAACACAGAAAGAGACATTTTAAGGTAGAAACATGGAAGGGCTTATGTCACAGAATCCCATCCTGGGAAAACTCAAGGTCAGGTATGAATTTTTTGGTTATGTGATATGAAGAGATCACTTTTGTTTTTTTTTTCCAGGCAGAGTTTTGCTCTGTTGCCCAGGCTAGAGTACAGTCTTGCAATCTTGGCTCACTGTAACCTCTGCAGTTCAAGGGATTCTCCTATCACAGCCTCCTGAGTAGCTGGGATTACAGGCACCCGCCACCATGCCCAGCTAATTTTTGTATTTCTAGTAGAGATGGGGTTTCACCATGTTGGTCAGGCTGGGCTCGAACTCCCGACCTCAGGTGATCCACCCGCCTCGGCCTCCCAAAGTGCTGGGATTACAGGTGTGAGCCACTGTGCCCGGCCAACTTTCTACGAGAAGAACATCCACATGCCTCAAGCAATTCTTACACCACCCTGTAAAGTTCTACAGGGACAGTACTAGTTGCTCCATTTTACAGATGAGAACACTAAAGCTTGGAGGGGCCAAGCCACTGGCCCAAGGTTATACGGTTTATCTGAAGATGGGATGGGAACTGAAACGAGGTCTTCGGAGTCTGATCGCAGCTCCCAACGCCGCCCCACGCAGCTCACCCTGTGTAGACAGGACCCCGGGAAATACTGCCCCAATGTCATCATCCTGTCCAGAAAACCTTTCTTTTGAGATCCAGGCCATTCCTCTCTTGCACTACTTCTTTCCCTGCCCGCTGGTGGTCTGTCCTAAGCTGACCTACCCATAGGAGGACGCTGAGAGAGGAATCCTTGCGAGGGGGTCATCTCACACCCTTATTTTCAGATGAAGAAACAGAGGCCTGAGAGGGGAGGAGACTGATCCCAGTCTCTCCTGGTGTCCAGCCTGTGCCCACTACCCCCACTGCTTCTTTTAAGGAACGGAGCCTCGCTGGTACCAGCTGCGTGCACCACACCACCTGCCTCGCCCCTACCTTGCCGATGACGTCATTGCGGCTGAGCCTGTCCTTGTCCATGACGGTGATAATGATGGTCGTCTCCCTCAGCTTCTCCGTGGGGATATCGAAGGCGAAGGACTCATTGAAGATGGGGTTCAGGTTCCTCTTCATCGTCACCGTCTTCTTCTTCTCCACCCGCTTGTCCTTGTACATCAGCCACACCTTCACGTAGGGGTCTGGGGGAGGGAGTGGGGAAGGGTTAGAGGGACCGTGGGGGAGGGACTTCCTAGGATCCCTTTCCCCTTCCAGGAATGGAAGCTGAGGCAGGAGGGCCGTGTGCTTTCCCCAGAGGCAAGGAGAGACCCAGGCAAGAACAAGAGGGACCTGGGAGAATCAGCAGATGGACCTTAGCAATCACCTGGGCCCTCCTGTTACTACCAACGAGGAAACTGAGCCCCAGAGAGGCCAGGTCTTGTCCAAAATCTCAGACAAGTAGCATCAGAGCTGGGGATAGAACCCAGGTCTTCCCACAATGTTCCCTTTCTTCCTGATTCTGGGAAGAACAGAGTCCAGGATGAGGGTGCTCCAAAGGGGGCCCCCAAGGCCTCTAGGGTAAGGAGTGAGGACTGGAGGTGGGGGTGTGGCGGGTTGGGGTGAGGACCGCTGCAGACCCTGCTCTCCACATCCAGTGTAACCCTTGTGTCACCAGCACATCCCCGGCCCGCCCGTCCTCTGCTGGAGGCGCCCCGCACCTGATGTGCCCCCGATGTCCATGGCTCTGAGGTTCCGGGCTTTGATGATGTTCACGATGATGGAGTTGGCAGAGGGGTTGTAGCAGAGAGACAAGAGCAGCTCCCCTCGGCTCCCCTGGGAGGCACAACAGGAGGGGTGTGGGGAACTAGGCTAGCAGAGCTCTCTGATTGGTCCAGCTGCCCCCAGGCCCCCTCTACCCTGACCTTGGCGCTTACCCATGCCCCTGTCTGTCACCTCTGTCTCACTCTGTCTCCCCTCCTCTGGCAGGTGTGTGTACTGCCCCTCCCAGGTCCACCATCTCCTCTCTGTTCCCTGAACACAGCCCTAGGTTCCTTCTTACAGATCGGGTGAGTCCCCCCCAAGTGCCAAGCACCAGTGCTCTGACTACTAGTGAGGACTGAGCTCCATCGGGCCTGCCCATCTGCACCCTCTCCCACAGCCCTCCTGGCCTTTCTAAGGTTGACAAGGGTCTGGGACCAGATCTCCCAGTCCTGCCCTGCTGCCTGTCCACTTAAGGCCCACCCATGGGGCCTTACACTCCCATCGCTGCATGGCTTCAGATCCTTCCAGAAGGTCTGCATCTGGGTCAGGTCCACCTTGTTAAGGGGGATGGACACCTCCCCGATGGGGTCGTTGCGGCTGAAGCGGTCGTAGTCCAGCACTTGGAGGTAGAGGATCCTCTGCACCACCTTCTCATAGGGAAAACCTGGGGGTATAGATGGGTGCGAGTGAAGAGGGGCACAGAGGGGCCACATGGGGCCCGGGAGGCAAGGAAGGCCCTGGGAAGAGGAGGCAGGCCCTGTGCCCTCCCGCTGCCACCCCACCGGGCCAGCAGGCACACTGGATTGCAATTAGACCTTACTGAAGTGCTAGCAAGAACTGTCACCGTCTCATGGGATTCCCTCAACAATTCTCCAAGGTGAATGGCATCTCGTCCATCTTACAGATGAGGCTCAGACAGCTTAAAGTACTTGCCCAGAGTCCCAGCTAGTAAAGAGTAGAACTGCGATCATCCATTCACCCATGCACCTTGTGTCCATCTCAGTGGCTGAGCAGCCGCTGCCAATCGTCCCGAGGCAGGTCTGGGCAAGTGGCTCTGCCTAGGTGGCCACAGCTGCCAGTACGCAGGCCCCAGGAGGACTCAGGGCAGAGGGACATGGGGAAGCATCAGTGGGAGGGAAAAGGCAAAGGCATAGAAGCAGGAGGTGACAAGTGTCCTGTGACTCGGCACCCCTCCTCCCACCTGTGCTTCTGTCCTTCTTCCCACAGCGTCCCCTTCTCTACTGCCACCTCCCTCGTCCAAGCCGCCGGCACCTCTTGCCTAGGCAGCTGCAAGCATCTCCAAACCGCCCTCCCCGCATCCACGCTTTCTCCTACCGTCCATTCTCAACGCGGCAGCCAGAGAGATCTTTTAAAAATAGAAATTCCATCATGATGTGCTCCTGCTTAAAGCCTTTCAATGGTTCCCAGTGCACTTAGAATAAAAGCCGGGCACCCTACCTTGGCTTCAAGTCCTTCCACAATTTGGCCCGGCTGTCCTCTCCCTGCTTGGCTTGTGACCGCTCTTCACTCAATGACTGGGCTCCAGCCACATCGGCCTCCTTCCTGGCCCTTCAACACCCTACTCCTCCCGCCTCGGGGCCGGGCGCACACTGGCCCCACCATGCGCCCCCCTTCTGGCTACTCTCATCCTTCAAGTCTCAGTATTCCTTCCTGGCACCCCAGACAGTGTTGGATCCCGTTATACGCTCTAGCACCTTTTCTTCCGTGAAACATATCACACACGGTAATAGATTTCTCTGTCTCTTTCCCTGATTTTTGTCTGGCTTTCCCGGAAGGCAAGGATTCCCAGAAAGGCCTCTCTGTTACCAACCACTGGATCTCGGTGTCTAACACCGTTTCTGGCACATAGTAGGCACTCGATATATATTTGTTAAGTGAATGCATAATTGAACAGATGAATCAATGCCAATGAAATGGCCTGATGGAGCAGCAGGACTGTGCTGAGGTGAAGTGGCAGCTAAGGTCAGAGGAGGGCTTGCATGGGATGGAGAAGGGAAGAGGGGGCCAGGTGAAGGTCTGAAGCCAGGAGTCATGAGCTCTTGGGAGGCTTAGTCAGAGGTGGGGCTGGCCCAGGAGGTGCAGGGGGCACAGGCCAGCCCGGAGGTCTGAGGTGAGGAGATTCTGAACCCGGGTGTGAGCAGGACGGAGGACGCCCTGGAACCTAAGCCTGGCTGGTGCAGAAGATGAAGGGAAGGAGGAGCCCCGGAGGATTCCAGCCCTTCCCCCAGAGACTCTGGAAGCACCGAGGAGCTCCGACAGGAGCAGATGAGTGGGAAAAGGAGACGCTCTGAATTTGTTCAGGGTCCTTTTCCTCATATTGTGGGAAGCTGTGTCCTGCTTATTTCAGAGTCCCCCACGGACCTTGCCCAGGCATCAATTCAGGTAAAATGCACGAGGACAAGTGTTCTGGGAATATTGGAAGCTCCAAGAAGTCGCTGCACCCCAGTCAGCTCTCATCAACACCAGAGGAGGCAGGCTCCTAGCTGGCAAATTCCTACTCATCCATCAGAACCCATTTTGAATGGTCCCTCTTCTGGGAAATTTTCTTCAGCACCATCAAAGGGAGCTCATACTGGCTTCCTGCAGCTCCTGTCATGCTGCGTGTGGCTGGCTTATCTACACATCTGTGTCTCCGTTAGGCCAGAAATGCCTTGAGGGCCATAACGGTGCCTCATTCTTTTCTACACCCCCGAAACCTAGAAGAGTGCCCAGCTCGTGGTTGTTGCTGGGCACGTGCTCGTGGAAGAGACTGGAGGACTGGAGTTCTGCTCAAAACCTTCGCCCTGCCAGCTGGCTACCTATACCACCAGACAGCTGAACCTCTCGCTGGTTGAGCCATCTCTAACCTGGCCCTCGTGGTGCCTGCAAAGGAGGGCATCCAGAAGCACACGGACACTCACTGCTCACCCTCAGTGCCATTTAGTGGGTGACCTGGCTGTCACCTTGCAGAAGAGGTGGGGTGCTAAGTGGGTGGGATGGCAGGTGGGGAAAGGTCCCTGGGATACACGGTGAAGATTCTGGAAGGCTAAGGCTTGGGGCAGCTGGAGTAGGGATCTACTCCCCCTGGATGAATGGGGAGCCACTAGCAAAGGGTTACAGCTTCTCTAAGCGGGGTCCTAGCACCCAAAGGCCCTGGGATAGAAATCACTGCTTAATCGCATGCCCAGCTTCCTGGTTACCTTGAATCCTCAGAGATAAGAGATAAAGACCGGCCTTCAGAGGGGGCTTGCAGGAGAGAGAAAGGACATTTGTCTCCGCGGCCTCCAGGCATGGTTCAGAGCTGTTGTTCCTGTCCCATGCGAGGGAGGGGGGCAGAGAACGGCAACAGATGGCGTGTGTTTAACAACCTGGTATCAAGCATTTGCTGGGTGTCAGGCACTGTTCTAAGTGCTTTTACAATTCACTTATTTGTTGAACCCTCACTATTATTATCTCTATTTTGTAGATGAGGAAACCAAATCATAGGGAGGCTCAGGAACTTGCCCAAGGTCACGCAGCGAGTAAGTGGCAAGAGCTGAGATTCAAACCCAGACAGCCTAGGCCACAGCCTATGCACTGAACCACTATGCTCTGGTGGCTCCAGGGTGCTCCAGCTCTGAGTCCTGTGGGTGCCTCCCTCCCTCCCTGCCCTCCTCAGGATGAGCTCTGTGTCTGGACTGAAACACCAGGCGGTGGCCCAGCTTCCCTCCTCGGCCTCTGGCTGTGATGCTGGCTCCACTTGGCTCCTGTGACCTGATCCCAACTAGACACAAAATGCATCAGGTTAACCGGGCCAAGTCATTGCCTGTGTGGGCGTTTGTGAGCGCATGGGTATGGATCTGTGCCTGTGCACGCATGCAGGTGTGCACATAAGTATATCTGATTGCATGTGTTTGTGCATTTGTGGGCCTGCAGGTGTGTGCCCATATGCATCTGTCCATGTGACCACATGTGTGGTTGGGTAGGGGGATGGTGGACGGCAAGAGGTGATCATGGCGGGGGAAGGGTGGCACTAGCCTCACCTTCAAAGAGGAAGGTCTCGTTCCAGTGGGGGTTCAGGTTCTTCCGCTTCACCTTGGTCTCCAGCTTGTGCTTCTTGTCAGGCAGCAGGTAGATCTTGACGAAGGGGTCACTGGTGCCGCTGAAGTCCTTGGCCGGCAGCTCTTGGGCCTTCATGATCTTCACGGTGAGCGTGGACTCCTGGAAGTTGTAGCCGACGCTGAACTGGATCCGGCCCAGGTTCTCTCGGCTGCAGCCCTCGTGGGCCTCATCCTCCTCGGAGCCTGGGGAGAGCTGGGGGTGGGGGAGAGGCCGGCAGGGTTGGGGGGGATTCTGCTTCCCCCATGTCCCCACCGCTGGCCAGCACGGGTAAGAGGCCAAAGGTGGTGGCCCAGCCACATCCCATGGACACTGCTCAGGCTCAGAGGGCAGGTGCCTTGACCGGGGTCTCCCAGGAGGGGAGGGGAAGGGGGGATGGCAGAGCCTAGACAGCTCTGTCTCCTGAACCTCAAAGCCGTATGCACGACACCCACCTCCCAGGCTCTCCTCGCAGCCCTGGGTCTGCCGCCGGCCCCAAGCTCCAGTTCCGCTGCCTCACCTTCCTGGTTGTAGCTGCCCTGGTGCGTGCTGGCGTTCCCGAGCCCCCCAGACCTCCCTGCCCTCTCGTGGCACGGTAGGGCCAACTGTGGGATGCACTGACACAAACCTGGGCTACACAGCAGATGAGGGAGGCTGCTCACATCAAAAAGAGTGTACCGCAACAATTCTTTGCAAAGTGACTCTCTAGGGTGCGGAGAATGATGTGATTTACAAAATGAGAGAGGTAAGTTTTCAGGAGCGATGTCTGTTTGTGTTAGGTAAAATCACCAGGGACAAGAAAATTGCAGACCCCCCAGGCCCTGTCCCCAAGCACTTTGACTGGATGGGGCTGGTGTGGGCCTGGGCATCAGTGCTGGGTAAAAGGCGCCTCAGATGACTGTACTGTCCATAGGGGCTGAGGAGTGCTGGGAGGGAGGGCGCTTGGGCTGACCCAGGAACGGACAGTCACACAGAGGCAGGGTGGGCATCTCGTCCCATCCTGACATCCAACCACAGGAAGCAGCCGGGAGGAGGGTCTCCCAGCCACGTGTCTGAACCTGTGAGCACACTGGTAGTACCTAGGAGGTTTTGGAACCCTGCCCACCCTCCAGCCGCCTGAGTGCAGCCCCAGACCACTGATCACAGCAGACCCAGTTAGGGGGCTGCATGGCTCAGGTACCCCTGGCTCGAAAGTCTCCCACGATGACTGGATGAGAGACAGGAGCAGGACCCTGGGTACCACAGTAAGAAAAACTGCAGGCATCCGTTCTCTCCCCCGCTTCCCCCGTAGAAACCTGCTCTGTGCCCTCTCCTTCATCCTCGAGAGGAAGCCCTAGGCTCTGAAAGACTAAATAATACAGATAATAATAATGTATCCGGTGCGCTCTTGCCATGACCAGCGACTCTCCCATCGCCGTCTCCTTACTGAATCCTGATAATAGCCAGGCGAGGCAGGTGGCACCACCCTCGCTGAGGAGACTGGTTCAGAGAGGTTAAGTCACATGGCCAAGACTGCACAGCAGTATGAATCCTCTCTGACTCAAAATCCTGCTCTTTCCACTGAAGCAGGCCCACACCCCAGCACAACACTGAGGTTTCCCCTCAAGCTGGCAAAGACCTGCGGACTCACCGTGCCAGGTGAAAACCGTCGGAATCACACTCGTGAGAGTTTTTTGTTTTTGTTTTTTTGAGACAAGGTCTCGCTCTGTTGCCAAGGCTGGAGTGCAGTGGTGCAATCCCGGCTCACTGCCACCTCCACCTCCCAAGGTCAAGCGATTTTCGTGCCTCAGCCTCCCGAGTAGCTGGGACCACAGGCGCACACCACTACGCCTGGCTAATTTTTGTCCTTTTAGTAGAGGCAGGGTTTCACCATGTTGGTCAGGCTACGAGTGATCTGCCCGCCTTGGCTTCCCAAAGTGCTGGGATTACAGGCATGAGCCATGCATCCGGCCTCACACTCACCACAGTAACTACCACGAACTGGCTGGCCGCCTGTAACCTGTGTCTTGTCCTCACTGACCTCTTACAACATCCCAACGAGGCAGGCACTCCCGCTGGAACACTTTCCCGGTGTTCCAACTGCGGCTGCCAGCACAGAGAGGTTGGGTCACTTGCCTCAAGTCGCCTGTGATTGAATGGCCAGTGGGAATGCAACCCAGTTGAGCGGCCAGGAATCCTGAGTCCCTTCCACCTGCGCCTTGCTCTTGCACTCAGATCTAGAGTCTGGGGCTTTACTCCGGTCCTGCCTAGTTGGGGGCACCGCGCTGCCTTACAGCAGAAGATGCTCCCTCCAGCCCCCACCCCTTGGCCGATCCAGATAACCCCTCAAGCCCCACTGCAGGCCCATGGAGAATGTGGTTTCCCTGTCCACAGTCTGCTTTTCCCCGACGCTCTTTTCTCTGCTTATGCCAGCCCCACACGCACGCTTTGACCCTGTTTTTACATCTGCAGAGTAGGGACCATGAGACCTACTTTGAGGGGTCCTGGGAGAGCTAGAAGGGGTCCCTTCTAGAGTTCTGCCCCGTGACCTGACCCACTGGCAGAGGGACCGAGCACCTGGGGCGTAGCATGTGTAGACAGTGCCAGCAAAGACCACTCGCCCACCCCCTTGCTTCTAAAGTTGGGGTGGAGTTGCTGATGACCGGAGCCCAGGTGGCCCCCACCCCACCTGAGGTCCCTCTGGTCCCTTGGCTCTTGGCTCCCAAATGGTGTGGTCTTGGGAAGGCCTGGGCTGGCTAGGTGGGTTTCACCTCGGAAAGGGGTGGCAGCTCTGTGCCCACTCCCAGCCTTCTTAAGCCACAGCCCTGAGCCCTAATTACTCAGCTGGGGCAGAGCCATCTCTTTGGCAACCAGGTTGGCCACCCCATCACAGTCAGGGAAGGTGCTTCCCGAGCCCTTGCAGAAGTCAGCCTCGAAAAGCAGCAAGCCACCCCTGTACCAGGGCAGCAGGTGCCCAGAAGCACGTGTGGCCTTGCCTCTTCTCAGACACCTCTGCCCCTCAGCCCCTTCTCTGGCCAGCTCTGGGTGCTTAACTCTTGTCTCTCGACCCCCAGATTCCACAGCCCAGGGTCCGGAGACTGGGACAGACTGAGGTCACAGTGGGCTGATTCTGCCCTGCTTATCTTATCATGGCTGTTAACGTCAACGGCCTAGCACTGGCACAGAGCTGTGCCATCAGACTCTGCCCTCCCACCTCTGAGCATCTTCCCAGCACAGGAGAGGGAGATGGGGCCTGCGCTTCCTTCTGCAGGCTGCAGCTGTTGGCCCCTCCCTGGGGGCAGCAAGGAGCAGGCAAGCTGGCTGTGAAGGGGCCGTCCCTTCTGGGAACCTGGCTACCGGGAAGCTGTAACCAATTAAGGGGCTATGCAGGGAGGCAGGGTGGGCTGTGGTAATGGCCCATCCAGAGGAGAGGACAGCCAGGGTCAGTCTGCCTGGGTGGGGGAAGATGGAAGGAGGGCAGTGGAGGGCCAGACACACAGGGGCCTGGCGGGCGGGGAGAAGGGGAGAGGTGGGGAGGCCCAAGGCGACCAGACCTAGGATGTGGAAAATCTGATGCTCTAATGTGGATTCAAGAAAACCACAGGATAGGCCGGGCGCGGTGGCTCATGCCTGCAATCACAAGGCAGGTGGATCATTTGGGGCTAAGAGTTTGAGATCGGCCTGGCCAACATGATGAAACCCCATCTCTACTAAAAATAGAAAAATTAGCCGGCGTGGTGGTGCACTACTATAATCCCAGCTACTCGGGAGGCTGAGGGAGGAGAATCGCTTGAGCTCGGGAGGCAGAGGTTGCAGTGAGTTGAGATTGTGCCACTGAACTCCAGCCTAGGGGAGAGATGAGATTCTGTCTCAAAAAAATAAAAAATAAAAAATAAGGAAAAAAGCAGACTCTTAGGCCCCACCAAAGGCCCACTGACCAGGAATCTGCATTTTAACAAAGTTCCTGGGTGATTCCTGCACACGTAGCAATTTGAGAAACGCCAGGCTAGAAGGGGCAGTGGGGATGGATGGTTAGAGCTGGCTGGAACTCTACATGGCAGAAGGGTGGGGGCTCTGGTGCCAGGGCAGTGGGGGAGGGGTTGGGAGCTCCCAAGCCTACTTCCTTCTCTCTAGAGAAGTGAGGGGTTCAATCCAAGGAGATGAAGCGTCCCAGGTCAAGTCCAGTAGGAACAGAGCAGGGGCTGGGTTCCCAACTTCGTCCCCTCTTCAAGCCTTCCTGGGACTTCCAACCTTTAACTGATCTCTGTCTGTCAATCTCCCCAGTTTTCTCCCTCCAGGACCTCTTTGGAAAAGTACAGGTGGGGCAAGTGGCTGTGACTCACTGCTGCCCCCGTGGGGGCACCGTGGGAACCACAACCTCTGTCTGGGCCAAGCAACCTAGAACTAGGATCCCACAAGGCTGGAGGCCTCTGGTGGGGCACGGGTGTGGACAGCAGCACCCCATCACAGCTGTCCCTCAGAGGAGCCGGGACCAGTGGATTCCTGCTCTCCTGTTCTCAGGGGCCTCTAGCCATGGGAATGGGGGAGGTCGCAGGCTAGGCCTTCCACTCTAGACCTCCACTTAAGGGGACATCACTCTCGGGAGGGGACACCTTCTGTCCTGAGTCCTCTGCCCACCAGCCTTTCCCTCTAGGATCCTGCAAGTATCTTGCATGAGTGGGTTTTCTTTGGTGCCTTCTCAATCCACAAAGGGATCAAAGCAGGATGGGAATTCTTATTTTCACTTGTCAAAGGAAGAAACTGAGACATGGAGAAGATATTTTGATGAAAGAGCTGGGAAGCAAACCCCGGCCTTGCACACTCAGTCACCAAGCGCCGAGTGGCCACCATGCTGGGCCTGGCTCTCCAGGCTGCTTCTGACCCGGTTCCCCTGCCTGGCCACGCCCATGCCGTTGCTGGTTCCCACACACGTCCCTCTTCTTCCTGCCCCTGGCCTCCCAGCCCAGTTCCTCGGGGCAGCACAGGCTCCCTCATTCTCACCATGAGCATCTCGCTGGTGAGGGAGTTGACGAGGTCTGAGACAGAGGAGCGTGGCTCGGTCCGGCGGTCGGACTCATCGTGGGGTGTCTGGCCTGGCACCGGGGCTGTGTTCACTGCCTTCCCTCCTGCAGGCAACCTGGGGGCAGGGGAGTCCAAATGAGATTGGGCTGGGAAGTGAGCTGGGTTGGGCACCCTGGCCTGAGGGGCGGCAGGACCTTCTCTGAAGACCCCAGCAGCTGCCATCCCCGGCGGGCCAGCAGGAGCGGTACTCCTGTCCACATGGACACCTGGTTTTCCCTGGAGACCCATGCCTGGGGCCCATTCTCCTTGCAGCCCCTGCCCCAGGCGACTGTGGCTTAACTACTCCTATAGGGGATATTTGGGGGAAGTGTCCCCATTCTTCCTGTTCCCCAGAAACCCCCCACCCTCCAGTCATTGGCTTGCATAGTTGGTCTGTGAGCTGGCCACCGCCCCCACTCCCCAGAGGCTTGTTCTAACCCATCCGCCCCCAGCCTGGAAGGGGGAGGCTCCGCCGTGGCGTGGTGTGTCCAGGTGCCTCTCTGCGTCATTACCCTCTGCAAACACGCCCAGAAGGTCTGTCTCCCAGATGCCCCACCTGTGTTTGCTTGGACTCATCAAGAATCCTCTTCCCACCCTCTAGACGTGAGATTGACCAGGTGAGGTCAGGACAACTCTCCACAGTGACAGAGTAGTCTGTATTTGTGCTGTCCAGTGGAACAGCCGCATGCCGCATGTGTGCATTTGAGCATTTGCAATGTGGCCAGTGTGGCTGAGAGCTGAAATTTTAATTTTGTTGAATGTAAGCTCATTTAGGTTTAGTGGCCCCATATTGGATAGGGTGAGTCTACACCCCCTTGTTCCCCAGTTTCCATCCTTCTCCCACTTGCTGAAGACTGTGCATTTGGTAAGGCTCTCACCCAGGGTCACAGAAAGACAGGCACCACCAAGAAGCCTTGTCTGCACCTGACTCCATGACGTTCCCAGGATGCTGGGCTCTTTGACCCAGTGGCTGGGTGGTGAGCCCAGGCTCCGTTCAGCTGGGGATCAGGAAGGGGCACTAAAAGCCTGCCCAGGGACCAGGCTGGCATGTCCCATAAGGAGGAAGAGAGGTGGAGGAAGGCAGGGAGGAAGAGACGGGGGACCAGTAGCATGAGGCTCAGGACAGGCTAAAATAGAACAGCTTTGAGAACACACAGCCACAAACTGGGAGCCACACGCTGAGGGTGGACATGAGCCATGGCCCTCGGGTAGAGACCAGCCTCCAGTACATAGGCGACCACGACAGGCACAGACAGACATGCACAGAATATGCCAGGCCCTGGAGGGGAGATATCAGGGTCCCAAAGCAGGGTGCGTGTGTGCACACACACACGCATGCACACACGTACACACAAAGCATGCACACACACATGCGCATACACACACACACATGCATGCACACACACATGTGCACACACAGGCACACACATGCACACAAGCCTCACAGACATCCAGAGGGGCAGGGAGAGGATGGCAGGGGCCACAGGCAGGCCAACCACAGCAGCAGTGATGACACACATACAGCGATGGCACACAGGGATCCCGAGAGGAGACGCGTTGGGGAGACCCAGGCATGCCACGAGTGCACGTGAAGGGGGACAAACTGAAACAGAAAGGGCAGGGAGTGGTTTCAGGGCCCAACATCCTGATTATCAGAAGCACGATACACCTGCTGTGAAAACCTGGCCCTGCCTCTACAACACGGAAACGCCCACTCCACCCAGCGACACGCGGGCGCCCCTCCCAGAGGGCCATGGCACGCATGGACATGTGGACACGCACGCACCACACACACACGCACAGGAGAGGACACGTGCTCACACGGGCAGGCAGGGGGAAGGAAAGGAGCCCGAAACAGCTGGAGAGGTAAAGTCAGGTTAGAAACAGAGTGGGAGAGCAGGGAGAGTGCGAGATTGGCTGCTGAAGGTATGAGAACGTTAGAGTTATTTGGCCACGCCGCAGCGTCGGCACAGCTGCCAAGCAGCCTGGGAGAGATGGTCAGCGCCACTGAAGCTGTCGGAGGTCACAGGACAGAGAGACAGAGGTGAGAGGCACAGAGAGAGGCAGAGGGAGAGGCCGAGGGGCCCATCGCCGGCCGAGGGCAGCCCTGTGAGGAGCAGATGGGAGAAAGGAGACAGAGGGAGAGAGAGGCCAAGAAAGTTAGTCAGAGACGTGTGAAGGCTGCCGGGTGGACGAGGGGACAGGGAGGAGCGTGCGGCCAACAGGAGAGGCAGAGAGGAGGCGGGGGACACACACCGTGACAGAACATGGTGGCTTCAGAGTAGGGAGAGCAATGGGGGTGGCCTGGTCCCCGCCTTGCCCTGTCCCCCACTCGGGGTGGGGGTGGGCCGCGGTGGAAACCATTTGGATCCCAAGGAGCAGTGGTGAAACGATGGCAGACAGCATGAGGGGGTGGACACGAGCAGAGTGGCTGAGGGTGGAATGGGCACAGCAGGGCGTGGAGCCAGGGCCTCCCTCCCTCCCGGGAGTGCAGTCTGAAGTGTGGTGCTGAGGCCCAGGAGCTGAAGGATCCTGGAGGGGGGACTTCAGGGACACCAAGAATCGTGGGGACAGAGGCAGTGACTGGCCCTCCCATCTCCTGCTGCTTGTTGGACACACTCCCACGCTGCTTGGAACCTGGAATGGCCACTCCTCCTCCCGGGGCGCTGTCTCCCATGAGCCTGCTGTTCACAGCCTCACAGGGGGCTGAGTGTCCTCCCCAGTGACAGCCAAGGGCCACTACCCCTTCCTCCAGAGACATCTGGTCAAGGGGTCAGCTGGGGAGGGAAAGGTGGGGCTGGGGTCAGAAGGGCAGACCCTGGGTCTAGAAGGAAAGGCTGAAGAGGGAGGGACAGCCACCCCAAGGCCACCACTCCCAAGTCTGAGGGTCCAGGAGCTCAGAGGGGTGGGGCCCTAAGCTGCCCAGCGCCCAGTGGGTGGTGCTGATGCCAAGCTTTGGGAAGGGGAGAGTCTGCTGGGAAGGAAGCATTGGATTCTGGACCCCTGTGGCAGCCCACCAGCCGAGAAGCACCCCAGTGTCCATGAGGAATGAATTTCCAGGATAGGTGGGCATGACGAGGCTGGAATGGCACGGTCCACTTGGAAAGTCAGGCTGGGTGGTGGCGAGGGCGCACGGCCTCCACCCCCACACCCACCTTTCCCAGGAAGGCAGGGGACAAGCTGATGTGATGATCAGAAGGAATGGGTGTGTTAAATATGGTGAGACCTAAGTGGCAAGGAGGTAAAAATAGACTGTGGGTGACAATGGAGCCGGTTCATTAACACATGGGTGATGTGAAATCTTGTTTCCAGCCTGCTTCTGCTCCCTCACGCTTCACACCTTTCCCAGCACCAGTCTCAGCTTCTTAGTGGGCGTTCAGAGGACTCCAGCCACCCCCTATGTCTTCTCGCCCCTGGCTCCTGGCCCTCCCAGTGGCCCTCTGACTGCCCTGCAGCCTAGCTTTGAGACCCTGGCTCAGGAAGTCAGAGCTCCTGTAGTAGTGCCTAGGTGGGTCAGGGGTGGCAGGCTCCACTCCTCTGGTACCCCTGCACATGGGCTCAGGGCCTGACACCATTTGTGCCACTCAGTGAAAGACCTGGCCCCACTCTCTGGGGACTTCCAGCCTTGCCCACCACAGACCATGCAACTGTGGACTCAGGATGGGAAGAAACTGGGAGGGATGGTCTCCAGGAACCACCAGAGGGACAGGCCAGCCAGCCATCTTGCCTCTCAGTCTATCCACCCTCCCTAGCCCACAAGCCCAGGGCAGCAGCCTGGGACAGTCCCTTCTGGCCCCTGGGGCCTCTCAAGAGCCTCAGGATGGCCTGTCCAAACAGTCCCTGCCCAGCTCACAGGACACATGCCCCAGCCCAAAGGCCCGTTTCCCTCATGAAAAGCTTAGCATATCTGAGCCTGAGGGGCCATTCCTTAGAGGTTACCCTGTCCAATCCTTCACTGGACAGATAAGTGAGCAGAGAACCCAGAGAGGGGCTGTGACTTGCCCAAGGCTGCAGAATGAGGCTCTGGCAGAACCAGAGCTGGAAGGCAGATGTCTTGGCTGCCAGGCCACACGCTGTCTTGCAGGCCTTTGGTCTGATGGGAAGCAGACCCGATCAAGGTGAGAAGCCCTCCTCCCATGATTCCCAAAGGCTAATTCATCCTGGAAACCACAGGTGTGGTCAACCCAACCTAAGGTCAGGCATCCACTGGCCCAGCTGTGGGATGTTGCCTGAACCCTGGGACCTCCCACCCTACCCCTTGCCCGTGAGCAGCGCCCCGCCCCCTCCTGAGACGGGGACAGTAGGAGATGCTTTCCTGAATTCCTGATAGCTGAGGCTGTGGCAGTTTAAATGCCCAGGCTTCTGCGTGGCCTGTGCTGTGGCCACACAGGCTATGCCCGGTCTCCATAGGGTCCCGAGGCCAGCCGCAGTGACAGGGAGCCCAACAAAGCCAGGCCTCACCCTTGCTCAGGACGGCTGCCTTCACTGCTCCGGGCCCTCCCCAGCTCTCTCCTGGTGCCCCGGCTCAGGGGAGAACCTTCTGGTTATTTCTGGTCACCAGGTCTCTCCCATGCCCCAGACCCTCCCACCATGGGCTCTTCTTCCATCAGCCAAGCAGCCCAACAGGACCTCCAGGCAAGAGGGAGGTTGAGGGGGTGGGGATGAGGGAGAACAGGCTGGCGCCCCTTCCCTAACATCCCCCCCGCCCACCAACCACCAGAGAAACAGGGATTTCCGGTTGGGGTGGGGACAGAGATGAAAGATGGAGGGCAGCAGAGAGGAGCCAAGCAGGAAGATGGGGCAGAAAAGGCTGCGCTTGCTCCGGGCTGGGGCAAGCATGCCGGAGAGCAGGCCTGATCCAGAATGGTCCCAGGATGGCCACAAGTGGCCTCAGACCCCAGGGACACCACCAAGGTGGCTGTGTGTGAGGGCACCGGCTGGGGAGGGGGCTCGTCCTCCCGCTCCAGCATCCGCTGAAGGCACCACCACCTCATCCAGCAGCCGGGGCCGGTCGAGGCAGGCGGCCTCTCCGCGCCTCCTTCTCTGCCGCCGCCGCCGCAGGCCCTCGCCTGTGCTCGTACCTCTTGTCCCCCTGAGCGTTCTGGTTCTGCTGGGTTCCTGGGTTTTGCAGGTCAGGGATATTGGCAAAGTCATCCTGTTCCGAAAGCCCTAAGACCAAGGATAGCACCACCATCCGGCCTTCCCTGCCCGGGGTGGGCAGCCCACCGGCCAGGGTGAAACGAGGAGGCCCCGTGGGCAGGGGCGGGGGGAAGGAGAGAGAGAGAGAGAGAGAGAGAGAGAGAGAAAGAGAGAGAGAGAGAGAGAGAGAGACAGAGACAAAGAGAGAGAAGAAAAAAGTGTAAGAAACTGGCCCTGCAGGAAAGAAAGCAAACTTCAGCACTGTCAACAGTTGCAGGATAGAGTGGGGAGAGTGGAGGCAGGGAGGGAGGGGAGGTGACTATGGCCTGAGACTCCACTGGCCCGAGCCAAGAGCAAGATTCTCCAGAGCTAAACTGCAAGGGGCTGGGCAGAGGCCTGCAGAGGTGGCCTATGGCTGGGACAGTCCCAAGGGAACACGGGGGGTAGGGTGGGGGGAATGGAGCATAGGCCCTGGGACCCCACAGATTTTCAAAGGCTAATGCATGCCCAGCTGGACTCGCTCTGACCATCTGGGCCACTGGGAGAAGAGGGAGGGGCTCCGTATCGGGCTCCGTCAGTATTCTGCACCGGCACCACGCAGGCTTAGAAAGTTTCAAAATCCAATGGGTACTGCACCCTGTCCTTATGGAAGCCCTTCATAGACAATGCTGTGTCACGGTCAACCAGATGTCCTTGAAGCCAGGCAGGGTCTAAGGAGCTACCTCCCCTAGGCTCCTCGATAAACAAGCCCATCAGAGGAGAATGAAAGTCCTTTGTGGTATATGGCAACTCGGCCACAGTGGCTGTCTCCTGTGTCCTCCTTGCTGGAGATCCAGGGAAAGAGCATCACCGCTGAGTCCAGGTCAAGGGCCTTTCATTGGAGAAGAGGTCCAGAAGGCACCACAAGCCAAGGCGGCAAGAAAGTGCAGGAACTTGGCAAGGTCTGGAGAAGTTTTGGCAGGACTGCAGGGAGCCTGTGCCTGCAGTGAGAGATCGCACTTTGAGGGAGCACAGTCAAGGCTGAACAGGCGGGGGGTAGGCAAGAGGGCGAGACTCTCTTGGAGTGGACATGTGGGCAGCTGTATGAGGCCAGGTGTGACACCGTTAGTAGGGGCATTCTCAGAGAACCATTGGGCAACTTGCCAGGGTCTTTGCGAGGTTACCCGCATTTGCCGGGGGGGAAAAGGGAGCATCAGTGGTGACCCTGCTGTCCCCATAGGCCATCAGAGTCCGTGAGCGTTTTCTGGGTGCTTTGTGGAGCTCCTCCAGCGTGGTGCCTCTCATCAGAACAAAAGGAGAGGGAGGGGTTCTCGGACAGGCCAGGCAGGAAAGCACGTCTCAAGAAGGGCCAAAGGGAAGACAGTAGGGCTGATGGAATATTCTGGAAGGGAGAGGATGCTGGGTCAGGATGTCTACCACTTCAATGTGAAGGGAGGCGAGGTTTACAGAGGAAGAGCTTGCTCTAACTTCTCAGAGCGGTTGTCAAAAAGGGAACAAACAGGTGAGAAACAGCCTCTGAGGTGAGGGGCGAGGGCACGAGGGTCTTGGAAAATGGGACATTACCTCTGGGGTTTCAGCGAACGGAGGGAGCTAAGTGGCTGCTGTGCCCCTCCCTGTCTTTGCATCTTTGGTCCTGGGCACAGTTACTCCAGGCTGACCCTTGTGCTGGGATCTAACTTTCGGGAAAAAAAACTCTGCCCCCTCCCTCAGGACAAATCCTCATTTTCTTTGTTTTCTGCCCACCGGTACTGTTTCAGAGTTGGTAAAATTCCATTTGGCTGCTCGGGAGCTAGTTGTGCTGGGGGAAGGCAAACTCAGTGAAAACAACATGTTTTTTCCCCGGTTAATGCATTTTTCAGATACTCCTTTTTCTCTTCTTAAAAACAGAACAGCTCCTCTGCATAAATTCCTGATTCGTCACTCTCTCCAGCTCTGCAGGCCGCGAGGCTTAGGATGAGGGGCAGGGGCTGGAGAGTGGAGGGAGAAGCTGGCAGTGTTAGGGGAGTCACGACCATCAAGCAGAGGGCTGCTGCCCTCCCTGCAAGGCGTAGGTGGGATCATGGGGGGCCAGGACAACCCTTGCCACCTGCTTCTCTACTGGAGCCACCAGCGTTTGGGCAAGAAAAGAGACTCAGAAGCAGGGCAGCTAAATTGTAAGGCAGGGGGCAAAGTACGGCCCACGAGCTAAGAGTGGTTTTTACATTTTCACATGGTTGTTTTAAAGAAAAAAAGAATGTGTGATGGAGATCACATGCGTCTTGCAAAGCCTAAATTATTATCTGGACCTTTCTAGGAAAAGTTGGCCGACCCTTGATGTGAGGTCTGGAGGTTGCCAGCGACTAGGGGAACGTGAGACTTGTCCTGGGACGCAGAGCAGGGACAGAGGATGCTTCTGCATGTGCGATGCTGGACCAATCCCGGTTCGCTGAGAAGGCAGCAGGCAGGGAAGAGATGGTACCCAGGTTCCTGGCAGGCCCCTGGCCCAGTCTGATGGCTGCTGGAACAGGAAGTGGGGTAACAGCTGTGACAAGACAGTCTGAGGTGGGGAGCAGCAGGGGTGTGCAGGCGCCCGGAAGCCTCTCAGTCCTGTTCAAGCCTCTGTCCCAAAACAAACCGCCACCTGGAAGACAGGAGGCTTTTCTGGGCATCTCGTCTTGTGCAGGCGTCCAGTTAGATTCCTGAAGGTCCTTGAGTGGGGTACAGCCCCAGAGAATAGGGTGTCCTGATTTGCCAAGGAGAGTCGCGGGCAGCATGTCTTGCTGGCCATGGGCCACTCGCACAGGTATGGGAAGCTGGCATGGCAGGGCCTCTTCGGATGGGGTGCCTTGCCCAGGACAGCGCTCCCACCTGCCCAGGAAGCCCTGGCTGAGGTCTCAGAGGAGAGACAGGACGCTCCGAGGAACTTGCTGGCCTTCAGAATCCCTATATCTTGCCAATGCTTCCCTTTCCTCCTCCCTTTCTCCTCTCCCAGGCTTAGTGTGCTGGTCTCCTGCTCCGTGAAAAGTGCTCCCAGGGAAGACCTGGGCGATGGGAAAAATCCCCAGGGCCTGGAAGGAAGCTCATGTTAGGGCAGAGGAGGGAGGTGATGTTGGGGATGGCAGCCCAGACCTGTCTTAGGCTCTGAGAGTGGGGGGCAGATGTCCAGAGGGATGCTGGGGAAGGGGCTTCCTGGGTGGGGCCCCTCCAGGGAGAGCAGGGGGTGGGCGAATGGCTGGAGGGAATGGTTAAGGTTAGACACTGATGCTGTGTTGTTACTTCTTAGACCTGTATGCTTGAAAGAAAGCTCCATTTAGAAACAACCTTTTCTAAAGCTTTGGGGCAACATCTCAGATTTGTCCTCAGGGGATGGGTCATTACTGGAGGAAGGCGACTTGGGAAGTCAGGGCGGGAGCTAGAGGACAGGTGGCTACAGAAGGTCAGAGAGATGGGGGAGGGCTGGTGGCAGGGACAGGGATAGAGGAAGTGAGAGGGAGGGAGGGAGGGGTGTGGGCCAGGAAGGCTAGCAGAGTCGGGTTACAGGGGAGAAGTAAATTGAAGGGGAGGAGGCAGGGCTGGAGATGAGTAAAAGGGATGGGTTTGGGAGCAGAGCAGGGAGGAGAGAGGTTGCAGGAGTGAAGGAAGACCGGCTGGGAGGCCAAGAGCAGCCTGGGACTAGCTGGGGAGAAGAGATGTATCTCAGGGCATTGTCCAGTGTCTCCACCTAACTTTTAGGGGGGAACTTCCCTAAAAGGCAGGGGTCCTCGTAGGGAGGTGGCTCAGAATCCTTCCATGGTGGCCTTCAGGCATGAGCCACAAGAGGCTAAGGAGGGGGCTGCCAAGTCTGCTTGGCACCCTGCCAAGGGGATGGAGGGCCGGGAGGTACACACAACCAGCTGCTTCCAGGGAGATCTAGGGGGCAGGAGGCTGGGTCGGGGAGGTGGGGGCCGGCCCGCTCAAGGGGAGGACTTACAGGAAGGATTTCATGTCCAAGCCTCGGTTTCGAATCTGCCCCACCACGTGGTCCCAGCTGCCCGGGTTGGAGCGGCTGCGGCCCCCCGCCGCCCGGTACTTGGAGCCGGCCGAGGTGCCCTGCCGAGCCTGGCCCCGGCCATAGGCCCGGGGGTTGGGGCCCGGCGCCGAGGCCATGTGGGCCTGCAGCTGGCCCAGGCTCTGGCTGGTGGTGGGCTGGCTGGGCTGCCGGCCCCGCTGGTGCTGGCTCAGCGGCTGCTGCAGGCTCTGCTGCCGCATCAGGGTGCGGGGTCGCTGGCATTTCGGCTCTCCCGTGGAGCTGGGGATAGACTCAAGGGTAGTGGCCGTGGACAGGGTGGAGTCCTCGAAACTTGGGGCAGGTGGAGGAGAGGAGAGAAAGGAGAAGCAGGTGAAGGGATCACAGTGGAGGAGAAAGAAGCCGAGGGCCAGGACTAGGAGGCCCCAGTGCAGGGTGCGCGCTGTCGGACCTCGCCAGGCCTCCATCGGAGCTGTCGCCGCTGCCGTCGCCGCCACTGCCTCTCCCAGGAGGCTGCAAAGCCCTCGCACCCACCCTGAGTCCCCAGGTCGGCTCCGCCCGCCCACCTTCTGGCCCTGGCTCAGCTAGTGCCAGAATACCTCCTGGCTAAGCCGACCTCCCTGCTGGTCTGAGTGGGCTGCCAGTGCTGCCAAGGCTGCGTGGTGAAGGCAGGTCCCCTGGGCCCTGTGGCTGCCTGTCATGTTGGAGTGGGAGGGGTGGAGGGAGCTGCTGTGGCTCCTCCCGCTGTCTCGCTGGGGGACACGAGGAAAGTCTGCCTCTGTGTTCTAAGTACTGCCATCCTTTGGAGACAGGAAGAAATCCAGGCCAGCACAGAGCTGGCCTAGTAATCCTGGGGAGGCCGGGGAAGCCATCAGTTCTTATACTTTGTCCACAGAGGTGAGGAAGCGGCAGACCTCTGCCCTGTGGCCAGCACCTCCTTAGGATTCAGGCTCTGGCATGGATCTTTGCCCTCTTTCCAGGGTTCTTTGTTTCAAAGGTCCAGCATCCTCTCCTGGGATCTTGGAAGTATCTCCCAGTCAGAGGACTGGACCAAGGAAAGAGTGCAGACAGGGTGGGAGCCCAGTATCCACTCATCCGACACTTCACCGCAGTTCTAGCAGAGAAGAGGGTGACTGTCTTTGATGCATTTGCAAGGGGGTGCTCTCCCACAGGCCCATCAGCATCTCTGAAGTGCACTGGGAAGTGGGGCAAGGACAGAGAACTAGGACATGGCTGGTCAGATTCTGTATAGCCTCATAGAGACCTGGGTTTGAACCCCACCTCTGCCACTTACTAAATATGGGACTCTGGAAAAGTGATTCCATCTCTCTGGGCCTCAGTTTCTTCATCTACGAAATGGGAGCAATAAAATAATCCCCGAGCTTCCTCTGTCACAGAGTTGCCATGAGGATCTAACGAGGTTGGGCTGTATTGAAAATGCTGTATTGGTAAAAGGTCCCCATGCCAGTGGTTGGAGTCCGAAGTCCCCGGCCTCCCCTGGAGAACCTGTCTGCTTCATGCGCTGGCTGGAGATTTCACCATATCCCACAGGCAGGGCCAGAGCCAGGCTGCCTCCAGGCACCAGAGCGGAGCCGGAGACTGGGCTGAATGAGCAGCTTTGGGTGAATCATTTCTCATCTTGGAACTTCAGGGTTCCAATCGTCTCCTCCTCTGTCCCTTCCCTCCACCTCTCAATCCAATGGCCCTGGGGAGGGGTTGGGAAGTCATTGCTTGTGGGCCACATCTGGCCTGCTGCTTGTCTCTGTAAATAAAGTTTTACTGGAACCAAGCCATTGGCATTAGTTTACATGCTGTCTCTGGCTGCTTTCATTCCACAATGGCAGGGTTGAGTCATTATGCAAGAGACTATATGGCTTATAAAGCCTAAATATTTTCCAAGTGGCCTTTTACTGGGAGTAAGTTTGCTGACCTCTGGTCTAGGGCCATGGGGCAGTCAAGTATCTCCCGGGCTGCCCAAGGGAGGAGGCCCCAGAGCCCTTGGGAGCCACTTTCACCACTGCAACCAGACCTCAGCTTTGCTCACCCTCTGAGCCTACCCTGGGAACCAAAAGACAACAGTTAGGCTACCCCTGTGGGCTGAGAGAGAGAAAGAAAGAGAGTGAAAGAGAGAAAGAAAGAGTATAGTAAAGAGAGAGCGAAAGAGAGAGAGAAGAAAGCAAAACATGGCTTTAGCTGGGGTCTTGGAGGGGTGGCAGCCTTGCCTGACTCAGGCCTGAAATCAGGGCTACCTCCAGGGGCAGGCCCAGGCCTGGCCGGCCAGGTAGGCCCACGGCTCCCTGGGGGCAGGTCGAGGCAGAGGGAGGGTGGCACATTGGCAGCTGCCTCCTCCTCCTCCTTGGTGACCTCATTTTGGTTTCCTATCACATCCAAAATTAGTCCAATTTACAACCTCTCAGTCACAGGAAACTAAAATTGGTTCCTCCAGGCCTGAAGCCAGAGGATGGCATGGAGGCCTAACTGGCCTGGAGACTGGCTGGGGCAGGCTGGGAGGGTGGGGCACTGGGCCAGGCTCTCTGAAGGGGTGTGTGGCTTCCCTGTGGGACCCTCCTGAGGCCAGATGTTGGGAGAAATTGGCTTGTGTGCACTCAAGCCAACTAGCGAACGAGATCTCAGTACGGTGGCCTTCAGTGCTCCCAATAGCAGGAACCACAGGTCTTCTGAAGAGAATCAGGAGCGCCCTCAGTTGAGGCAACAGGATGGCCCAACAGCTAGAAAGGGGCAGGGCTGTTGACCTGTTAAGTGGGAGGCTGCTCCATTAGCTGGGAGTTCCAACTTCTGAAAATGGAATTTATACCCCGAGGGAAACTGGTCACAGCTCAAAGGACTCAGGGTCTAGAAGGGCTCTACTGAGGGGAATCAGAAGTTTCCAAAGGCCAAGATGAGAATAAAGCTGCCCCATGAGGGGGGATATACTATCTGTGGAAAACAGGGGCCAATCCTACGTCCATCAGCCAAGAGTGGGCCTCTTTGACTAGCTCAGACAGCTATTACAGAGGGGATGGCTCCTTCTGCCTGATGTCTAGAACACCCCATGACATCTGGCGAGTGAAGCTAGCTGGGGTTTGACAACCCAACCTCCAGGAATACACGGTCCCAACAGCCAATGGTGGGATAGCTCGGTAACCAAGACTGGGACAGCCAACAGGGATGGCTGAGATGAGGATGAACCGATGGGGCAGCCTGTGGCTGCTCGTGAGTGGCTTCCACAACAGATGATGTATGGTTCGAGCAAGACTGGGACAGCCAGTGGAGTCACCCCATGGTCAAAAATGGAATGGCTCAACTTCTGGGTCTACAGCCGTCTGCTGGCAGTAAGAGGGAAAGCCTGGGAGCTGATGGGTGACTGTCAGGTTGAGAGTGGGCCAGATACCCAGGATGAGATGGAACAACCACAGGCCTGCTGCCCGTGGAGGGATGACCTGGTGGCTGAGATGGGGCGGCCAATCAAAGAGGATGGGATGACCCGGAAACTGAAATGAAGCTGCCCTGGGGGCAGAAAATGGAATGACCTGGTCACTGGCAAAGGAAGGGACTGATGGGGCATCAGCCAGAGGCTGAAATGCATCACTGTATGGCTGAGTTCGTCGTGCCAAATGGCAAGGATGATGGGCGAGTCTCATGAAGGGATGGAATGAGCCAGGGGCCGAGGACGGCACCTCTGGGGGCAGCAGCGGGCATGCCAGGGGTCCCGCTGTCCACCCTGACAGGGCAGGCCTGAGCTCACGGCTCCGGCAGCCATGGGGCGCCATCACTCACTTGGACAAGTTGAGCTTCCCTGCGGCCAGGTGGCTCTGCACCGTCCGCCAGCGGCCTCTCCCGGCCTTGCCACTGCTGCCCGGCTCGCTGGGGGCAGCCCCGCCGCTTCTCAAGGCGTCCTCTCCGGGTGGTGGCACCGGCGCCGGCTTCTCCCCCAGCCGGCCTTCCCGCTCCACCGCCAGCCCCGCCGCGGCGGCCACTTTGGCGCCCGACAGGAGGGTGCCACTGGAGGCATGCACAAGGCAGCCAGGCCAGAGGGGCACCGGGGGTGGCGGTGGGGGAGAGAGGGCGGGCCATACGAGGGGGTGGGGGGGTGGAAGAGGAAGAAAAACAACAACAGATAAAAGGAAGAAAGAGACAGTGAGAGAGGAAGAGGAGAGAGACAGACGGACAAGAGACAGACAGAGAGAGAGAGAGAGACATCAGCACTGCAAATGGGTTAACAGCGGAGCCTGCAGAGAGGAGAGAGGGGGACCGGGCGGGCTGGGGGTCGGAGAACAACGCACCACGACAACGGAGGGGGGGCCCCTCCCCACCGCCTGGGGCAGGGGCGGCGGGGGTTGGGGGAGGGCAGCCACCTCCAACTCTATCCCACAGGACAACGAAGGGTTAACGACGGAGGAAGAGCGGGCTGTCCAGGCCAGGAGGCCCCAAGGCAGGGAGAAAGAGAAAGCCGTGTTAGTCAGAGTTCATCACCACCACCACCACCATCACCGCCACCACCGCCACGAACCACCGACCACCGACCACCGACCACCGAGCAGCCACGGCAGCACACAGCGGGGAGGAAGAAGCGACCACAACCGAGGGGGCGGGACCCAAACGGGCAACCCCATCCTGACTGCACAGAAGGTGGGGTGGGCCCCGGGACCAGCTGGGGGGGCCAAGTATGGCTGCCGAGGGGGCTCTCCTACAAGGCTGGCCCTGGGGGAGGGGACAGGAGCGGGCAGGCAGGTGGGCGGGGGCAGGAGGGGTTGCTCGTCTCCATGGTCGGCCTGCCCATGGGGTGGATGGGTGGGGACGTTGGGGGACAGGAGCGAGAGGAGGGAGTGAGGGGGGCCAGGGGTGGGTGGGGGCGGGAGGAGGGAAGGAGGGCGTGCGCGGATACTCGGTACATATGATCAAACCAGGTAAAGTCACTCACTTGAGGGACAGTCGTGGGTCGCCATAAGGGGCGTAGGGTGAAATGTTTAGAATAAACTCCTTGGGAGGGTAGGAGCTCCATTTCTGCTGCACTGTGCTCTCATTGTTATTCCAAAAGTCTCTGTCTAGATCACTGGAGGGGCAGAGAGAGAGGGGAGAAAACAGGGAGATACAAGAAGAAACAAGAACTGCAAGTCCTGCAGGGGCAGAAGGGACCAGGACCCCGGGGCCGGGCACACAGGGGGCGGGGCTTCGTGGTCAGCTCCTGCGGGAGGAAGAAAGGCAGGCGGGCACCACAGTCTGTGCCTCGCACACACGCGCACACGCACACACACACACGCACACATGTGCAAGCATACCCATGCACACACGCACGCACCCGAGGGCCGGGAAGCCACACAGAAAGGAGGCAAGCGGCAGGCGGCAGACCGGAGCCTCGCACCTGGGAAGCTGGTGGGAGAGAGAAAATGATGAGAGGCGGGGACGTGGGGGAGAAGGGGTGGGGACGAGGCCCGGGGTGAGCAGGGGCAGTGGGAGAAGGAGAGTGCTGGTTTCTGGCTAGATGGAGCTGAAAGGCAGATCAGGCCCAGGTGCCAACTTGTAGGCCCTACCTCTCCTGGCCTCAGTTTCCTGGCCGGTCAAAGGAGAAGACTGGCTGTAACTGCTATACTATCAACTCTCTCACTGTAGAATAAAAGCTCTAGTACTGGAGAACTCAAGGTTCTCTCCTCTTCCATGTTCTCTCCACTGAGGCCCTCCTGGGGCAGGCCCAGCCCCTTAACCATCTTTCGCCTCCTCCTCCTACTGGCCTGAGGGGCTCCCTGGCTTCCTGTGCTCTCTCTTCTACTCTGTGAGGCGGGGCTGCAGCCTTCACCTAAGACTGGGGGATCTCAGCTGAACTGGAGACCATCTCTACTCCTTGCAAATGTGGCAGCTGGGTCACCCCACCCCCCTGAAAGGGGAGCATTCCCAGGCCTCTGACCTTGCTGAGGATGTCGCTAGGGTAACCAGGGCACCCTTCAGTCCTTTGTTCTGGGGCCTGTGTAGCGGGAACCCGTCCTCTGGGTGTGTCCCTGGCCTGCCTGCTGGGGCAGCCCCTCCCTGGGTCCCTATCGCTTTCCAGGTGGAGCTGCTGGGTCTGGAAGGGACCTTCAGCCCCGACTCTCCACCTTCTCCTGAGAACGTGGGGACTTGCAGGTGGGGTGGGTGGCAGAAGCCTTGGCCGGTGGAGGGCACAGCCTGGAACCCCTGGGAGCCAAGGACAAGGGGTGCTACCAGCTAATCAGGCCACTGGGACCCCAAGAAGCAGGGCTGGGAGTACAGGGGAATAGAGACAGTGACTATTAGGGAAGGCAGCCATGTTTCAGGCACGGGAATGCCTCTAGAGAAGAGGCCCCGGGAGGAGCACTGGGGTGGGCCTGGGGAGGACTGAGGCTGTGCCGCTACCCAAAGGCAAAGTGGGGCAGTGTGGGGAAGGGTGCCATCGGGGGCACACACCACCCCCCAGGATCAAGCAAACATGTTCTTGTGGGACCTGCTTTTTCCTCCATTTAGAATTTGACCTTGACCTTGGTTCTCAACCTCAGACTCAGGCACAAAAGTGAGAAAGATGGAGAGAGGCTGAGCTGCCACCATAGGCCCAGATGAGATGGTGACGTTGGGCATCCCTGGCGTAGACAGATTTCTCTGTCCAGAGTACACCCTGGAAATGTCTCACAGGGGACTCTGTGTACAGGGTTCAAAGCCAAAGCGTAGAGCCAGCTCACAGCGGCAGTAAGTGGTGGGTATGGAGGAGGTAGGACAGGCCCCAGGGGAACCTAACCCCTTGACAAAAAACCCCCTTCCCACCACAGATGTCCCTTCCCAGCAGAGCCTCACACGAGGGCATGGCTGGGGCACCCCGCGTCAGGTATAACAGAGATGGAGCAGGTAGGAGCCTCCCTTTCCCACTCCCTCCAGATCTCCAGAATCTAGGGCCACCCAACCCTAGGTCCCAGAAAAAAAATCCACCCAAAGCCACTACTGCCGGACTTGTCTCCCACCCTGTGTTCTGAAGAGCTCCAGGGTCCCTCAGGTTTTTCCACTGTGGTACTGGAAAAAAGGATCTTTGATTAAAGAAATTTGGGAAACACTGATTCCTTTACCGCAGGACTTCTCAGAGCCTTTAATGTGCCCACGAATATCAGTATCGCCAAGAGGGAGACAGAGTGTACAGTGTTCCCCAAACTTAGTCGACCATGAGACCCTTGATTCGTGGAACAGCTATGACTCATCTATGGGGCACAAGGGCCCTGAGGAACACAGTTTGGAAAGCACTGCTAAAGAACACAGTTTCCTAGAATCCTTGATAAGACGATCCTTTGTGGGGGGTCCTAAGCCCGTGGAGGGCTGTGCAGGAAGGAGGCTCTCCCTCCTGTGACTCCACTGACTTGGGCCCTTTCTGTTCTCTTCTGGAAAGAAGCAAAGGCTGAGGTGCATGTAGACACACGTGGTGGCTTCCTTCCCTCGGGGCAGAGGGCCTGACCACTCAGCAGCATCAGGGGCAGGCTAGGATTGAGTGCGGGAGCTGCAGGACCACACAGAGGCAGGCTGGATGGCCGTGGCTGCCTCACCTTGTCTTAGAGAGCCCTCATGGGCACTGGTCCCAGCCTGGCACAGCCTGCTGCCCGCCCGCCCTCTGGTTGGGAATCCTGTCTCCTCTCGTGGGCCCTTTCCAGGACTCCAGGCCCTGCCACACGCACCCCTATCCAGGAAGGTTATGATCACCTTGCAGAAACAGGCCCCCAGCCCTGGCCCGCAGCTGTAAACGGCCTGTCCTGGAGGAGGCACAGGTGCTGCGCTGGCCGTGCTCCCCCACGCGCTCTCTCGCCTTCAGAAAGCCCGGGCCTGCACTCTGCAAGAGCCCCTGAGCCCTGCCAGCACTTGGCTTTGAAGACTGGAGCCTGCGCAACCAACCCAGCTTCAAAGGCTCCCGCAGCCTCCTCCTGAGTCTCCTGCCGTCCCCCAGCCTCAGCCTGGCCCACCCCTCCTCTTGCCCCACCTCAGACACATGCACACAGATTCTACCAAGGCCCCAAACAGGATCAGTGCAAGAGATGAACAAAATGGGGCAGAGGAAGGCCTGGAAGGGAGCCCTCGGGAGTGGGGTGCAGGGTCGGGGAGTTGAGAAGAGAAGGTGGAGAAAGAGGAAAGGGAAGGGAAGGGGAAAGATGCACAGGGGAAGGCAAGGGAGACCAGCAGTGGGCAAGGGCCAGAGGGCAGGGGAGGGTGGCTGGGCCTTCAGAGGGATGAAGAGTGGGGGTAGGGAGGGCTGCGGGCATTCGGCTTCTAGGCAGAGCCCTTTGGCTGGCAGGCTTGGTCCAGGCCAGGCTGACATGTAAGGCTACCACCCCTACCTTGACCTCTGGGTTCAGCAGAGAGGAAGGGGCTGGGGCCACTGACCAGTGGACACAGAGGCTTCCCCCCCAGCGAAAGCCTCCATTTCCAGAGCCTAGGTGGCCTGAGTCCCCAGCCAGGTGGGTGGGGGGCTTCTCTTGGTGTCTCCCAGTGACCTCAGCAGAGGGCTGGCTAAGATGGTCTGCAGTGGGAGGGCAGACCCCTTGAAGAGGGCTCTACAGCAGAACAAGGAGATCGGGGTAAGGCAGAGACAGCCACACACGCAGCGGCTGGTGGGGGTGACGGGGAGGGAGGGACTGCTCCCCAGCGCTCTGCTCCCTGAGTGGCCCAGGACAGGGGCCAGCTGGGGTCCACAAGGCGTGTCTGCCTCCCCACTTCCAGGTCATCCTTAAACACTAGCAGAATCTGAGAAAAGAACCTGGGGTCTACTAGGGAGGGGCCTCCCTGGCCTAGCAGCAGGGGCCCCATGAGAGGGTCTTAGAGGTCCAGGGAAGCCTGTGGGTGGTGGGCACAGTGTGTGTGACAGGAAGGTTGGATGGGAAAGCGGCAACCAGGGTTAAGGTGGGTGCAGACAGTGCTGGGGGTGACAGCAGCAGAAACGGAGGCCAGGGACTCCGGAACACTGCAAGGGGCTTGGGCACAGGCAGAAAAGACAGGGCCCCTGAGTTGTTGGGGCATGTGGAGGGTGTAGAGAGCATGGCATCAGGGTGTGGGGGAACCGTAAGTGTGTGGTCAGGTCTGTGGGGCTGAGGGAGAGAAGGGGCTCCTCCCACCTGGGCTGCTTGTGTGGCCCCATCCCAAACTGGCAGCCTGGCACCTACTTGATAGCCTTCTTCTCACTGCGCCCACGCCCTGAGTCTGGCGTGCCCACCGTCTCCAAGGAATTCTTGTAGCGTTTGCCCTGTGGAGATAGCACTGGGGTCACTCCTGGGGAACAGGACTGTACCCTCCCCACCTCCCCAGAACAGGGACCCAGAGGGGAAGGAGATAGAACTGAGTTGGGCTGTGGCAACAAGGCCAGGACCAGTGTGCGAGGATGTCACAGCGGTGGGGGCCAATCCCCTGGATGCCTGCTCCCCGGTTGGCAGCTCCTGGGCCCCATTGGGCTCTAGGACCTGCCTCATCCGCCTCGACCTGAACCTCATCCCTGACTCCCAGGGATTAGCCCCTCCTGTCTGCCTATCTCCTGGGGCTCTGGCCTAGCTCCCAGAAACACAGTTCCCTCTGCCATGGACAGACGGCTCTCAGGCGCCTGGCCACGTCACACTGTCCACGTCATCACCCCCAGATGGTGGGGGTGGCATCCTGCAGGGCAAGGTTGGCAGTGGCCAGTGATGTGAGCAGTGGGGGCGGGGAGAAGGCCATGTCCCCAGTCCTGCTCGGGGCTGTGTCCACCACTGTCGGGCTCTCTGGGGGTCCTTGTGCCCTGGGGCTGTGAGGCAGGAGCAAGGCTGTTTTAGGAAGGCAGTCTTAGGAAGACAGACTGCCCACTGACTCAGAAGCAGTTGTGGGGAGGCAGCCTAGGCCCCTGCTTCCCAGAGTCCCTCACACTAGCAGGAGGAGGGAGGGGGCAGGGCAGCGGGTGGGCACCCCAGGTCCTCCAGCTAAAGGAAGGGCCGTGGCCACAGTGGCAACTGGGCCTGCTGCCGGGAAGGTGAGCACCATTCACCTTCTCAGTTTGGGTTTCTAAATTTAGCTCATGCAGAGCCCAGCCCCATTAACATTCCTGGCTGCCACCAAGCGTCCTCACACGCACCCATGGGCCACGGACCTGGGCCAGGTCCAGGTCCATGGCTGATGTGGGCAGTGGGGGAACAGGGGCTGTGCGGGGGTTGGGGCTGCCTCTCCCAGCCCATTCTCCCACTGGGCACTGGCCTACCTCTCCCCGGCTGCACACACACAAGCGCGCGCGCGCGCGCACACACACACACACACACACGTGCACACGCAAATGCTTCCCAACACCCCGTCATGTGCACCAGCGCCACAGCCACAACAGTCGATTATTCCATCATCTCTAAAGCAAAGTAAGAGCTGTCACTGCCATGATCCCTGTCACGGTCATGCTCCCTGACGCTCCCGCCAGGGGCAGCCCCTTCCCAGGCACGGGAGCCGCCTATCTAGGGAGACTGGCAGCAAAGCTCCCTCATGCCACCAGCAGTGCCCTACACCTCAGGGTTGCCTGAGGCTTGGCTCCAGCAATACCGCATGTTCCCCCATCGTCCTAGCCAAGTCCCTTCCCTTCTCTGGCCTCTTTCCTCCTTTCTGAAATGGTGTTGCCATGTGAACCTCAGGAGGAAGACTCCTCATCCCTCCAGGCTCTCATCACAGATATGGGCATTTCTGTTTACTTACTTGAGCTCCTATCTCCTGGCACGTGCTCCCACAGAAGCAAGGCTGTGGGTTTCTGGTACCTAGTGTGGAACCCGGTACTAGGCAATTCTCAGAAATCATCACCTGGCAGTGTCCCTTCTATGGCCCTGCCCACCCTGGAGTCTGGGCCCCCAGCAGCTGCCTCTAAGTCAGAACTTTAAGACTTGAAATACAGAGATGCCGGACACCCTGGGTTCACAAAAGCTGCCACTCACAGCTCCTTCTCCAATCCCTCCCATCACTACCCAGAGGTCCAAATCTCAATTCCCAGTTCCAACTGGGAAGATCCGACGAGGCTGTGCCACAGTGACCTCAGGCCCCCTTCGGCAGGACCCTCAGGCAGGAGCCCCGCTCCACTATTCTGCAGCACACAGGCAGTGTGGGGCAAGAGCAGGGCTGCTGAGGGCATCCCATGCCGCCCCTCACTTTTCTCTTCCTTCTTTCTGGCTTGGCAAGAGAGCTTGCCCCGGCCAGCACCCTCTCATAGGGCTGGTCCACTGCCCCTTTCCTAAGGCCAGGAAAGGCAGGGTCAGCCCTTTCCGAGCCGCCCCCCCACACATATTCTGGGAGCCTCTGTCTGCCGCTTTTCCTTCCCCAACTACGAGAACCTTCCCCTCTGGCTTCGACTGTTGCTCTGCAGCAGGAGCCAAGGCGCTATGGGGGACAGGAACCAGGCCAGGACTTGATTTGGAGGGCAGGGGGATAACCCAAGTTAACAGGAAATCAGGCAGGGTCCGGGTGACATTAGGCAGCTTCAAAGGAGCCCAACACCACCAGCCCGCTTCTCAGGGAGGGGTGGCCAGGCTGATCCGGAAAAAGCCAGCTGGAGATTAAGGAAGTTATTAATGTTTGGAAATGGGATCTGGGCTGTCAGGGTATCACGTCACTGCTGCTGAGGGGACAAGCAGGCAAGGAGAGCCCGACAACTGTGTGTGTTGGGGGAGGGGACAGCATTTTAAAGTCCCTTCCATGGAGCAAGGAGACAGCCTGATCAAGGAGCTCCCTGGCTTCTGGAACCCCTGAGGCAGAGGGGAGCGGGTGGCAGGGCTTGGATGACTGGGGAGAGTAGCATTCTATCCAGAGCAAGTCAAGAGGGACAGCCTGTGGTCTGGACCCTGGGACGGCTCCTGGCTGGGGATTGAGGGGAGGGGCTGGGACCAGGGAAGAGGCTGCATCTGTATCTCTCAGCTCCCAAGGTCCTTCTGGTGCTGACAGCCCCCATCTGCTGCAAAGGCTGTCGCCTTTGAACTCCTGTCCCCAGGCCCTGCACCTGACTGGAGGTGCATGGGGGTGGGGTAGAGACCAGTTTCAATTGTACCCAGGTCCTAGAAGGCACCTCTCACTGCACGCACACACACACACACACACACTGCAGCACACATGCAGAGGAGGTCACGAGGGTGGGGCAGACCCCAGCATTGGCTCACACAGGGATCTGATGAGTTGATGCACATCCCACCGCTGAGGGGTGAACAGACACACAGACACAGACAGAGAGACAGACAGACACACACACACACACACACACACACTGCACCAATACCCTCAAAGTCAGCACACTCAGCACAGACCCCACACGGAACACACACACAAGGACGCCAGCAGCGCCTGCTCATGCAGCGAGCCTTCTTCCCTGGCCTTCAAATCCAGACAGACAGCAAGACAGCCTAAGGGGCTCTGCAACAAGATGCTCAGCGCTGCAGCTACGCTCAGCCACTCCCCCAGCCTCCGAGCACACACACACAGAGGCACATGGCCCAGCCTCCTCTACCACCTTTCCTGAAATTCTGAGACAGACGCAGACACAGGGGACCCAGGAACAAAGCAGGGCAGCCAGCCCAGTTCCACACACCTGCAGGCAGAGGGGGACCGGGTCACGCACACACTCGCACACATGCACACACACTCACACAGGAAGCAGAGCTGGCCTCCACTACGGCTCCTCCCCAGGGGTCGGAGCTGCCTGAAGTTCAACACCCAGGATGGAGGCGCATGCTCCCAAGTCCTGAGTTTGCCTTTCTTGAAGGAGGCATGCTGGGTTCTGGGACCTCTCCGGTCTTTCCCACGGGTCTCTCACAAGACCCCAAAACCCTTTCCCAGGGGTATCTGCCCCTTTTCTTCCTCCAGAGGAGTGGGGCATGAAGCCTCTACCCACCCAGTGCCCACAGCCACAGCGCTCCCCCCTTGTCCTTAAGGCCCCTCTGTGGCTGCGCAGGAAGAGAATGGGGTTCCCAGAGGTGGCGCCCTGCCCCCACTTCCACCACTGGGGGCGCTTGCCAGTGACCCTCTTTCACCTCACCCCGCCAAAGGCGTCGCACCTCGGACACCCTGGACCCACCGTTGCTCCTCTGCCCCCTGCTGCCCCCAAAGCCCCACCACACTTCTGGGCCGGGCGGCAGGAAGGGGGACGGGAGTCGGGGTCTTGCGAAGCAGAAGCCCGGGGAGCTGCGGGCGGGGCGGGGCGGGGCGGGGTGGCGCGATGCAGGGCGGGCGGCTCAGCCCCGCTCCCCTTACCGGCGCCCTCGGGGGATGAATGTCCCTCCTGACGGTCTCTTTACTTATTGATGGACTAATCCTGCTCGTTAATTCCCCAGCCCTCGTTAAAAATGAAAAGGAGCCGTTTGTGCTTGTACAAACCCGAGAGCCAGGATGGATGTGCAGGGGGTGGGGCGGGCGGCGCCACCGCATTGGCCTCCGGCTCAGCTACGCCCATGGGGGGAACGGGCGGAGGGGAGGGGGCGCGGCGCTTAGACTGGGGGCTCGATTCTCAGTCTGCGCGTGTGTGCCTGCGGTGCTTTATGCGGAAGGCAGGGCGTGTGTGTGTGTGTGTGTGTAGCTGCTCGCGTGCGAATGCCTATGAGTCCTAAGTCTGTCCCTGAATGTGTCGCTAAATACATGGCTTTGGGCATATATACAGAAGTATAGGGCCCAGACCCCGGTAAACGCAGGGTGTGTGTGCATGCATGCATGTGCATGTGGTCTGAATTTCTATGGAAGTGTCCCTGACTATGTGGACAGGTGAGTCACCTGTGTGCACCCTTAGGAAAATTCCCGAGCCTGTAATTGTGGGGGGGCAGTGTGCAGGGCCAGGCACTGCCCTCCAAGGGGCCCTCAGGAGCCTCACCAGTTTGCGCTGACACCAGTGGCAGAGGCCGCAGAGGACGACAGTGACGCTAAGGCTGACGGTGATGATGGCAGAGACCAGCAGGACGTCGCGCGAGGGCGCCCCTGGGGAGGACAGGTACAGGTCAGACCCTCATTGGCCAGGGCCACCCTCCCTCAGCCCAGAGCCCTCCAGAACAACCACCCTACCCTTCCATCTGGCCCCTTCACCGGGAGCTCTGAACCCAGGTTCTACTCCCAGTTCTGCCTTGCTTGATGAACTTGGGTAGTTTCTCTCTGTGTGCCTCAGTTTTCTCATCTGTAAAATGGGGAAACTGTGCCAGTTGGCATCTTTCTCTGTCTCTCCCTGCATGGACCCTGTGTGAGTCCATGGGATCTGTGCCATCCTCCAAACTTGAAACCCTCAAAGGAGGGCCAAATGTGCTCCTCAGCTCAGCCAGACTTCATCTGTCCATCAAATCCCTCCACAGGCCACTGCTCCTGGATGGCCTTTTCACACAGCACTCTTCCAACCGCTACCCTGACAACACACACACTCTGAGTCGAAACTCCAGTCAAATTTGTCCAAAGGGTCCTTATTATCTCTGACAGCCCCTTTGAGGACATCTGCCTCATGGGCACTAGCCGATCGTCTTGTTTCCCAAGATTCACCAGCCATATGTGTAGTCAAAGGAATCTCTGGAACCCTCTGACCAGCTGTTGCCCCCTTTAGCCCAGCTTTCTTTGGTCTGGAAGCCCACCCACTGGCCTCTGCACATCCCTATCCCCCGAGCTCCCACCCCCCGCAACACCATGGCTGCAGCCCATCTGTAATTCCTAAATGCTCTCATCCCAAGAGCCAAGGGGCCATAAACCTCAGGAGTGGAAACCTTGACACCCTTGCCAAAGATGAGACCTGTCCTGGGAAGAAAATCTCAGGCCTCTGTCCGAATCCCACCCGTTCCCAGGCTGTGTGGCTTCCACCAGTCACAGAAGCACTTAGTTTCTTCCTCTGTAAATGTAGATCAGACCTCCTCCCCCACCCTCCTCACGGGTGATTGTAAACATTAGCCCAAACCAAATGAAAGGAAGGCAAAAGCCTGGAGGAAAAATTCTCATGTGGGGCAGTGAGTGGAGACCTGCATAGATCACACATGCGCCATAAATCTGTTGTGTGTGCTAGGATGCGTCCTAAAGCCAAGGAGATGCTGTTTATTTACAGAGGAGCCTGCGTGGGCTTTTTGGTGCCAGTGATCGTAGTAATTAAGAGTTGACGATATCTGTCTGGTCCTGGTTCCTGCGGTTTTAGCTTCTGCCTTTCTTCCTCTCCCAGTCTCTCTTACTTGGCCATGCAGCCTGGTGGAGGAGGGCCCAGCAGTCACCCTCAGGGATGACTCTCATCAACTCTCAGGGGCCTCTGGGCTCCCTCCCTCCTCCACTCCAGCACCCTGGGCAGTCCCTTCTCTACCTGCTCTACTAGAGCCCTCTTTGGGCCCCACCTCTCCCTTCCTGACTTCCTGAGCCTCCTAGCTGTGGGGAAAGGCCACCCTTGTGAGGCTCCCACCTGTCCACCTGCCAGGCAAATCCAGTCTCCTCCTGTACCAAGTCTGCAGCCTCAACCCCCCGGAAGCCCCTGCACCCAGTTCACTTTCAACCTCAGGGCCCAGGGCACCCATAAGCTCTGACCTGGACAACCTGCAGACACCAAGGTCCTGCCCCTCCCTCTCCTGGGCTGAGGAGCACAGCTCTGCAAGCCTGGAGGGGCCACATTTGTCAAAGTTCTCAGGTCAAATAGGAGAACTAGGACTCTGATCTCCAAGCTTCTGAGGGAGAATAGGAGCAGGGCACTCCATCACAGCCCCACGGCCCATGGCCAGGCCTCCAGGGAAGGGATGGGCAAAGGTGCCTTCTGGACATGAGATCTGTTTCCCAGCTCTCCCCATGGAACCCGCCCAGCCCCACTGGAAGGGCTAGGGGAGCTATGTGGGCTGAAAGCAAGTGAGCCCACACTTTCCTTTGTTTAACTCACTTTGAAATAAAGTAAACTCCATTCTTACGCTGAGCTTTCCTCGGCAACTATCTATTAAGAATATATTATGAGTGGGCGTGGTGGCTCATGCCTGTAATCCCAGCACTTTGGGAACCAGAGGCAGGCAGATCACTCAAGGTCAGGAATTTGAGGCCAACATGGTGAAACCCCATCTCTACTAAAAAAACAAAAAATTAGCTGGGCGTGGTGATGTGTGCCTGTAGTCCCAGCTGCTTAGGAGGCTGAGGCATGAGAATCGCTTAGCTTGAACTCTGCCATGGGGATTGGAGGGGGGCGGAGGTTTTAGTGAGCCCAGATTGCACCACAGCACTCCAGGCCGGGCAACAGAACAGACTCTGTAATCTCGGAAAAAAATTAAAATATATATATGATACCACACACACACACACACACACACACCACATATAATAAATTATGAGCGTATGTGTTTGTGTGAGGGGACAGCCGCTGCCACAAGGAACATACCACTCCAAATGGGAAGGACAGTTAGAATGAGTTTCTCGGCTGGGTGTGGTGCTTCACGCCTTGATTCCAGCCTTTGGAAGGGCCGAGGCGGCGGGGATCACGAGTCAGGAGATCACAGATCATCCTGGCTAACACGCGTGAAACCCGGTATCTTACTAAAAATAAAAAATATTAAAAAAAAATTAGCCAGGCACTGTGGCTGTAGTCCCAGCTACGTTCAGGAGGCTGAGGCAGGAGAATGGCGTGAACCCAGGGGCGGAGTTCTTGCAGTGAGCTGAGATTGGCCACTGCACTCCAGCCTGGGCAATAGAGCGAAGGTCTGGTGCTCAAAAAAAAAAAATAAAAGTTATCTTCCTAGTATGCTAGGTGCTCTAGAACCATCAAACACAGGACACCCAGCCAGCGGGCCCCAGACTCCAAAAGACCTGAGAAAAAGACCCAAGTGTGAGTACCACCTTGCCTCTTTTTGTTGAGACAGAGTTCTGCTCTTTTCACCCAGGCTGGAGTGCAATGGCGTGATCTCAGTTCACTGCAACCTCCACCTCCAGGGTTCAAGCGATTCTCCTGCCTCAGCCTCCCGAATAGCTGGGATAACAGGCACCCGCCACCACGTCCGGCTAATTTTTTGTATTTTTAGTAGATAAGGGATTTCACCACGTTGGCCAGGCTGGTCTTGAACTCCTGACCTCAGGTGATCCACCCGCCTCGGCCTCCGAAAGTACTGGGATTACAGGCATGAGCCATTGCGCCCAGCCACACCTCTACCTCTTAACAGCTGTGTGACTTTGGACAAGTATCTTAACCACTCAGGGTCTCCCACAGGGTTGCTGTTAGCACTCAATGGATGGGTACCATTAGTATGGTTGTTGGTGTTTGTTTTATCTCAGGCATAAACAAAGGGCCCTGGGAGCACAAATGAGGACTTTATCAATCTTGCGGGACAAGTGAGCTATCTGGGAAGGACACCCTGAGGAGGTGGTGTTTGGCGTAGTCTGAAGATGGAAGTGAGGCGAAAGTAGGATAGTCCAGGCAGAGGAAAAGGTGTGGAGGTGGGAAAAGTGTTAGGCACATTGTTGAGGAGCCGGACTTAGGGTATGGGGAGTGAATTCAGGGAGACCAGCCTGGAAGGAAAGGAGGGCCTGATGGGGAAGGGGCTCGTCTATCCAGCTGAGGGGCTTGTTTTGTTCTGTAGACCACGGGAGCCATGGTAGGCTTTTGAGCAGGCGAAGGATGGGATCAGAGGGGTGTTTCACAAGCTCATGATCTGGTAGCTATAGTAGGAAGCAGCTGGAGGTCATGGCCACACTCCAGGTAGGCTCCTCTGCTCTGGTGCCCTCTCCACACTTCACCCTCCCCCATATACCTCTTTGCCACAGGGAATTCTCTAAGGGGTCACCTTCCTGGAGCTCCCTCCTTTTTTTGTCAAACAGGATCCTTCTCAAAAACTAATCCTCAATCCTCAACCTGCAGGTCAGAGAGTCCCTAGGGACAGAAGCCTGTCAATCCCAGAGTCCAGTGGGCACACTCTGAAAGGCCCCCAGACACCCAAAAGAACACCCATCTTAAGCAATTAGCATTCTGTGGGCATGGCAGAATGAGCCCTAGGCTTGGGGTCTAGGAGAACTAGGCTGAGACCCTAGTCCAGCTGCTAACCGGCCGTGTGGCAGCCAAGACACTCGACTCTTGGATATCAGTGCTTTCATCTGGGGAAGAGCTGACCCTGACCCTTCCCCCTCAGAGGACAAGCCAGGTATTCCAGGTGTTCCACATGCAGTCACAACGACAACAGAGATAAGCATTATGAGTCATCCCCATTTTACAGAGGTGAAACTGAGGAACAGAGAAGTCAAATACCATGTCCAAGTTCAAAGCCAGGGTTTGAACTGAGGCAGTCCGACTCGGATTCTATACTCTTTGCTTTGACATCACACCAACTACAGAGGTACATGGTTAGTTTTCAAGGTGCACTCTTTGGAACCCCTAGGGTTGCCTGGAGTCTCTCTGGGGCTCTAGGGAGTGGAGGCTGAGCCGATAAGGCTGTGATCCCTCAAGCCCTCTTCAGTCACAGTAGCACTGTTTCCTTCTGTGCTCTTGAGTTTTTGCAGAAAATTCCATTTGGAGAAGGGGTTGTGTTGCTAAGGAAAGTTGAACTCCTCTGGATGAGTGACCCCAGGGTCCCCTATAGTGTGGGTGGCTGCTGTCATCTTCCAGGCAGCTGGTGCAGCCCCCACAGATTCCCCAGACCCTTCAGCCTCCCTCGGACAGCCCTCAAAGGCAGGGTGAAACAAACACTTGCCACTGCAAATTGCACTGATGTTGTGAATAAAAGTGACTTGATGTCCTCGGCCAGCATGCTGATATCCTAAGGAGATCCTAAGGAGATCCTAAGGGAGATGTCGCCATCAAGGGGTACAAGCGTGTTCTTGCCTACCAGCCAGAGTGAACCATTTCCTGCGTATGGAGTCACTGTGTCTCCAGCTGGAAGGAACCTTGAAAGTCATGAAGTCAGGCCCCAGGGATGCACAAAGCCCATGGGCAGCCCTGTTGGTGACAGGGAGCTTCCGCAGGGAGCAGAAGGCAGGAAGCAGGTCCTTCCTGGATGGGCACTGTT